TGTTGCTTACAGCGGCGTAACGATGCCAACAGCAACATGGGTATTAGCGACACCAGAAGTGTTAAGCTGATATGTAGTGTTCGTGTACAGGCGTCACTTCGGGTTAACGTAACCCGACGTGACGCCCGTATCATAGGAGTACATTTGTAATCTTTATAAAACTGGATAGCGGGCACTGCAACCATAATGACATAATCATGAATTTTAGGGTCTATTTGAAAAGTAGTTCCGAGAACTGACATGCCTTTGTCACGGCCACTGGATAAAAAACAACCTTGCTTTTTATCCAGCGGCCGTGCCTCTGTGGTATAGAATACTTTACTGCTACGCAGAATGCTAGGGTTCGATTCCTGCTGGCACACTGAAATTTATTCGTTGCAATCCTCGGGTCAACGTTGCCGATGTCAGCTTTTCTTTTAACACCACCGCTTTAAAACTACCAATGCCTGTTCTCATTGTTTCTGGGTGAATTACTGATGGCGCATACCCACCCGTTATACGTGTATGTGCCACACGTGTCTGACATAATGGGTTTGATGATGTACGCGACCGGATTGTGACTTAGAAGTGTGGCAGCTTGGGCTAGTTGGTATGGCATGACGATAGTTATAGCGCGAGAACAAAACGACGACACAGAGACAAGAAGGAGCGCTCGTGTCTTTCGTGTCCTTCTTGTCTCTGTGTCGTCGTTTTGTTCTCGCGCTATAACTATCGTCGGATTGTTACATTATTCATGTTATGACCAGCTAGTCATATTTGTCAAATCACCTTACCCTCCCGTACTAATATTCGTTTACGCCAGGTTAAGGGGGTGATCAGAAGAGCACCCCGGCGTAGGCGGTTAGACAGACAGACAGACAGAGAGGCAGGCAGGCAGGGCAGGGCAGGCAGGCGACGCCGGCCGTCGCCGACTGCCTTCGTCCGTAGTCTTGCCGTCTGCTATGTCCTTTCTAGTACTTGGAACAACTACAGTGTAGCAAAACTTCACTGAGCGTTGCATATTATTCATCCCTACCACGACACACAAAGTGCACCCGCGTTCTGCACACTTCCGTTCAAACCAATCGTTACGACAACAGCCGCGGGGGAACATTGCACAGCTAACGATGCGGCACAAAAAATGGAGGCTGTCGCTCCTCCAGCTCGCCACGGTACATGACGCATGCTGCCGCTCTACAACACGCCACAATGTCACGTAACCATAGCAACGCCGCCATTATGCGCATTGCTCCCGGACTAACGGACGGCGTTCGCTTTCGGGTCGCTTCGCCCGTCGCGCAGCGCACTATTTGTCGGCATTCATTTCAGGGGGCGCAGCTCCTACAACCGTGGGTCGTGCGTCCTCGATGTATGTAGTACTAGTAGGTATAGCCAGCTCTCGTTTATTCCTTGGAATGTCGGCTGGATGGCAGTACTATGGGTCCTATGGGTACTATGGGTCCTATGGGTCCTGTATAAACAGTTACTCTAATCATGAACATATGAAAAAAAGATGCGAGATGGCGGTACTTGGATTGTTCACTAGATGGACGGACGGACAGAGAGACGGACAGACAGACAGACGAACGGACGGATGGATGAACGATTCAAGGTTTACCCTTCGAAGCTTTGCCGAACTCATCATTATTCACTCCGTGGATATATGCTATGACTTTTTTTTTCTCTGGCTCATCATGTCATCACAAAATGACGGTATATACATTTGTTCTGGAAAGTATCTGGCAGGCTTCTCGCTGCGAAAAGAGAGGATTCGCGCTCGCCGCCACCTTCGCGTGTAGACTCGACGGATCGCAATGCGGGCGCTTGGGCACATTACCGTTGGTTGCCATTACGCCTGCCGTTATCTTTTAAAGCCCGTTCCGTCGACCGATATTGTGCGATTACGAGTGGCCGCGTGTCGCAAGTCAAGACAGAACTTAAAGTGATCAGCGTGCGCGTGTGGAACGTATACTACGTGACAACTGTCGCTTTCTAGGGACGCGTGCCAATCACTTTCGCGAGATTTCACACACCGTGCTGTGCCGCCAATTGTTACGTGCCCTGCACTGCGCAGAGTAGCTTGTCGTGGTGGTGGTAGTGGTTAGAAGAGGAGAAATGCACCTAATTTCTGCAGCCCAAGAGTAGCTTGTTAAGCTCATAGGCATATGCAGGGTTCTTCTTCAAAAAGAGAAAAGGTTCGTCGCAGTGCCCCCCCCCCCCCTCCTAGGTGACTAGTGCCCCCTCCCCGTGCGCGCACGCATATGGTTAAGCTATAACGAGACGGAAGTCTTCTTCACGAAGATTGTGCGTGAACGTGCCACGTGATCATCTCCCAAATGCGCATGGCCAAGAATATCACTTCCGTTATTCGGCATACCTAAGCAGCAATGCAGAAAGAATCGGCACTCACGCGGCGCCAATATTTATTTGCGGCCATGGCGGTAGCATTCGTTCGCGTCTACGCTGGCTGTCCCAGCGTTTCCTTTTGAAATATTCGGGTTGTCTCGGGATTTAAACAGGCGTTAAACAAACGAGCCGTTTTCAGTCAGCATCTAAGCTAGCCGGCTGCCAGCGAGATGCCATATAGGTTCGAAAATCGAAGAGTTCCTCAATTTCAATTTTTATTGACAAATGTTTTTTTTGCCCTTGGACCTCAATATGGGCAATTTTCAGCCTCAATTTTCACTCGACTTGGATCGCGCGTTTTCCCGGATTGTATACGTTCATTTACCGCGTTTTCTTTTCCTTTATATTTGAAAACTTATCAACGAGGTTCTACTGTACTATGTACGTACATCCCCCATATATATCTTATAAGGTGGAGGGGGGGGATTGAGCACAACTGCAGTCCAGTTTGTAAGAAGCAACAGACGCGTTATTCGAACGTCACAAGTTCAGTCCCTGTCAGCGGCAAGTTATCTTTTCGTCCACTTCACTTTCTTCACATTTGCATAAAAATTACGATAGAAACATCCTTCATACTTGCCTAGGCATCATTGTCTCTTAGTTCTCAATAATGTGCGCAACAAACAAAAACGAGATTTGCCTTGTTTGTTTGAACAGCATTGCTGGTTACACCTTGACAGAGTGGAATGGAGCCCTACATTTTTGTGCTTTTGAGCAGCTCACTAATTTGCCATATATTTCTTGCATGCTTCACTTGATGTCGCAACAAAGTGACAAGAGAGAGAAATAAATAAAAGGAAGAGACAGGGAGGTTAACCTAGACGAACTGGCTTGCTACTCTGTACGGGGTGGGGAAGAGGGTCCGAAAGAGGATAGAAATGGAGAGATAAAAAATAAATTAGAAAAAAAAACCGTATGCGCACACATTCAGGGAGTTCCGATCACAGTCGTTTGGACAGGCCGGTTGAATGCAAGAAGCGCAGGAGCGCCTTCACAGCCTTCTTCTGCGACATAAAGTCCTGTCGGCAGAGCAGGATTCTTTCTTCCGAAAGAGGCTGGTTGTCCAGTTCATCTATTGCATTGCAGAGTGACTGTCTCTGCGAGCAGTATTGTGGGCATTCGCACGGAATGTGCCAAGTTGTTTCATCACTGCCACAATGGTCGCATGCAGCAGTGTCAGCCATTCCTATGCGGAACTGCGTACGCATTGGTAAATGCGACGCCCAACCATAATCTGCACAGCATAGTAGCGTCTCGTCGGCGTAATTCCGGAGGAATTCGAAGACTAAGAGTTGGGTCCAAAGTACCTAACCGTGCATGGATGAAATTTGACTCGTTCCATTGTGACGAGGTGCGCTTGCGAGCAAGCATGCGGAGTTTCCGTGCAGCGTCAGTTCTGGAAAGCGGAATTGATATTTCATCGCTTTCAGTATGGGCAGAACGGGCAGCTCGATCGGCCCGTTCATTGCCAATTATTCCACAATGACTTGGGAGCCATTGAAAGGCTATTTCATGGCCTTCCTCAATGAGTTGGTGAGTTTTTTCTGCAATCTCAAATACCAGCTGTTCGTACGGGCCGTGGCGTAAAGGTGATAGAAGGGATTGCAGTGCCGCCTTTGAGTCACTGAAAATTGTCCATTTTTGTGGCTGTTGGTCGTTGATGCATTGCAATGCGGCATGAAGAGCTGTGAGCTCTGCTCCCGTTGATGTCGTAAGGTGGGAGGTCTTGAATTTTCTTGTCGTGTCTTTTATCGGTATAACAAATGATGCCGTTGAACTCTTCTGTAAAACAGAGCCGTCGGTGTATACGTGTATACAGCCTCGATACATCTCGTATAACAAGAGCAGAGCAAGCTGTCTAAGAGCAGGTGACGACATATCTGCTTTTTTCTGGATGCCAGGTATAGTTAGCCTGATGTTAGCCTGAGTCAGGCACCAGGGAGGAGTCGAAGGCCTGGCGGCGGGTGTGAAGCATGTTGGCAAAGAATCGCGATATGTGGTGACCGTTTGGCAAAATGACGAACTTGGTCTGTCTGCTGGTAAAGAGGCTAGGTGGTGGCAGGGTGTCCGAGCAATATGCCTTATATGTGTCCTGAGTGCCTCAACGTCGATATGTGTCGTGATTAGGTGGTCACCGGCGATAGCTATAGTAGCCATTGTCGACGCACTACGAGGCAAGCCGAGGCAAATCCGGAGTGCCTGGGACTGAACACTCTGTAGCGTTCGAAGGCTTGTTTTGCTTGCATTGGTCAATGCCGGTAAACTGTACCGCAGAAAACCCAGAAAAAGTACTCTGTACAGCTGTAGCATTGCACTGGGAGACATTCCCCAAGTCTTCCCTGCAAAGAACTTCAGTATATTACAGATGTCCATTAACCGTTTCTTCATGTACGAAACGTGATCGCTCTATGAGAGATTCCTGTCAATTATGACGCCCAAAAACTTGTGCGATTGAACGTATGGTACAGTTTAACCATTGATGCTTATAGCGTACTTATCCATAGGCTTTCGTGTAAAAGCTACGAGGGCGCATTTCTCGGAAGAAATTTCCAAGCCTCGATTTCATAGGTAGCGTAATGTTTCAGTGGCAGCTTTTTGAAGTGACAAATGCAGGCTTGAACTCAATATATCAACTTTATTAGTCTCCACTGAGCCCCACGGAAGGTGCTTCCAAGGGCACAACGACAAAGTCGCATTATTGAACATTGTTCAACAGAGTTTAACAACGAGATTATCCCGAGAGGTTTTTTTTTCTTTCCGGGTTCCAAAAAAGATCTGTACAGTTATTTTCAGTTTTATTGTAAATCCACAAAAAGTTTTTTTTCCTTCCCATTTGACATATTTACAAAGAGCATGCACAGAGGACTAAGATTCCATTCTCTGGTTGTTAGAAAAAGAGTTATTTCAAGGACCAAGCTTAGATGTGTCTGTGTATGTGTGTGTATGGGTATTTGTGTCTTGGCATCACACTCCACGTTATTCATGCATGCACACAAGGACAGTGGTAAGCACACGTGACCAGAGAGCTAAAAAAAATGAAAAACCAGAACATGCACAAGTGCCTAAGTGAACATGATGAAGAGGCTGCATTTCTTATTTCCCACTGTTAACACAAATGACAGGAGAAAGGTAAGTCAAAACAGGGAGAACATTTGCACTTGCAGTTTACAGATGCTGGGTATAATGGGTTACAACCATTTTCTTGTGCCATCATGGCCCTAAGGCAAGACCCGCCAGGTTTTATGGGAGTCTCTGTAACAGTGGCAAACTGCTGACTCTTTATTTTGCACCACACAGGCAGCAAAAATGATAGATGTGTTCATGCCTTGATGAACCTGAAAACAGATATGCAGTATGATGATAGAAGCCAGCAGTTTGCAATGAAGGCAACTGACAGGGATTAACAACTGCAAGCTCTCCACGTGACGACTGGGAAATTAAAACAGGATCAGCTGCTCGCGTGTTGTAATGAACACAGAAGCAAAAGTGCTGCAAAGGTGTTTTGTGCCTTTTGAAGGCAAACATGTAATAGAGCCATAAACCTGCTTTGGGGGATAAGCTAGGGACTTGGTTACAGTGGACTGAGAGCAACAATATTTCACAACCAAATGTAACAGGTAATTACTCATGTCTGTGCCAATGGCAAGTGATGAGTAGGGCTTCGTCTCAGCTGTACAGACAGTTTCCGAGTATGTCCCTACCTGTAAAGTTTTGCTGATGCAACGTTTGATCTCTGTATAGTACCAGCAGGACACCTTTTCTCACCAGGGTGAAATGCATGCACATTAGCCTTGATGTAACAATGAATGCAGAAGCACGTTTTGATTATGTGGCATGAGCTGATAAATACGGGGTTGTATGAAAAATGCACGAAGCATTTAGTTTTCATATGTGGTGCTCCTGCAGAACCAGGCTACCATTAATTTTTTCAGAGCAATGGTCCACTGTACAAAGAAAAAACAAAGAAACAAAAGCAAACATAGTCCACTTGGAATACAAGGCCCCTCCCACTACAACTCAACTTCTGGTTTTATGAAGTCGCCCCTCTTTGCACTATTTTTTGTTTCTAAAGACTTGTGACAGCCCACAACAACTTGCTCTTTCAATTCCAGGACTGACACTAGTTTTTGTGGCGAGTCAGTGCGAGAGAAACATGCTACTGATTTCCCATTACATAGTGCTTACTGGAAGTTGACAAACTAAGACATGGCCGTTTATTGCACTAAACACTTAAGGCCACATCAAGATCGCTGGTCACTGGCCATGTTGCCATGCACATGCTTCAGTACATTTTTGCAGAACACTCGCCCGTACATTTGCTCCTTCAGTCAAAACACTCAATGAAAAAGCGAAGGGGTAACACACCTTTCCAAGTAATAGGCCAGCCTAACAATGTGCCTTCAGAAAAGGAGTGTGTGTCATATGGTGGTATCGTAAGTTGAGCGTCACAACCATAGCGGCATTATTGTACACACCAAACCTCCGGCGCGAGACCACAATGGTTTGATTCTGCTGCAGAGCAGTGAAATGGAAATGAATGACTGGAAGACAAACTAAAGTCACTGAATAGCTTCATAGATTGCAGAAATGTGCCAACAGTTTAAAAAATAAGGTTGGAATCAAGCTTCTTTTCTGCCTCCTGCAGGTGAAATGTTCTTTTGCCATTTCGGCCAGGCCAAAGTGTGCTGCAGCTTGAAACTGACAGTTCCAGAGAGAAATAAAAATATACCAACTGCTACACTTCCTTTCAAACTTTGATGGCAGTGTGGCCATGTGGTGACCACTGATGAAGTCATGAAGTCATCACAGTACAATCCGCAATGAGAACACTGGAATGCACATTAGCTGTATGACACAAGTGAAGCTACAATCAGAGAATACTCTCGTAGATTGATGTGAAGTTTATGGGAACAAAGAGAGGTGTTAAATAAAACAAAAGGCACTCTAAACCATGTATCTAAATGCTATGTTATTAATTGAAAGATTATGATCTGCAGGTTGAGTTCTGGTTGAAATGCATCATTAGACAACATTCCAAAGCTACACAGTGACTCCAGCATGCCCTGTCACTAAACCAACGGTTTCCTGGTTTCTTGACAAAGCATCGTTATGCACGCCAGCTTTACCTGACGAATGGTAGCGTGGCCAAAAGGGCGTCTCAGTATTTACACTTTCGTTAATGCACCAGTGGCTGTAACTGACTTTTGAAAACCATATTCACAAGTATCACTAAAGCTTGCCACATGTAGCGCCTGTGGTGGCCACAGGTCAACTAACGTCCTGAAATGCCCAGGGTAAAATTTTGTCAATACCAGAGCTTGTAAAGAAAACATCACACAGCTTGAACAGAAACTCTCTGCACTGCTGTACTAAGTGAGGGCAGGGCTAAAACAACAAGCAATCTGTGGCTGCTTCTCAATGGCGAATGCTCACACAGAAGCAGGATAAGACCGATTTGTACAGATTACAAACACAGTGTGCAGTGAACATCATCAAGAAAAGCTCATTCATAACTGCAAACAGTAGGGGCTTACACTGACAAGCCCAAAAGCCACGCCCTGAGGCATAGCTAAACTTCATGCTGTCCCAGGTTCTTGTGTTTTTGCTGCGATCAGCAATGCAACTTATTTCCAGCTGCTGAATCCAACAACCAAAATCTTTGCAGTACGGTGGCACCTGGTAGATCTATGCTACACTAGATACAACTAGTATAGGTCTGCCTATATCCAGCGTGATGGGATGTCTCAGTCCAAACTCACACATGAGAAACATAACCAAGCACGAGGTACAGTGATCCACATAGAGCACTTGGAGGAGAAATTAACGGCTCCATTCTCAAATGCTCTACAGAGCTGTGTTAAGCTTATGTACAATAAACATCTTCCCTATCACAGTTTGAACTCTAATCTCTTGCCACTCGGGAAATGGGCAGCACTGCACTAGCTGCATCGTATGCATCTAGAATTCACAATGGACTGCTGATAACTCCAGCCAAACCGACTTTAAACACACACACAGACTCTAGTGAACACACTGGATTCAGTCCAGGAATTAAAACGATTCATCAATAACAGCAGAAATCGGCAACTCCTACTAGCCTATAATGCCCACCTATAATGCTCAAATTATCAGTAGTCTATTGCATACCCAGTGACTTTATTACCTAGTCTTTGTTGTTCATCATTCAATATATTTAGTGTGATACGCTCTCTTTTCTTGCATAACTTGGCAATGTGAGTGTTGCTTGATGAGAAGTTGCTTGACCTAGTATTCTCCTGCAGCACTGGTGCTGTTCGGCACAATTAGCTCCTAGGAATGTTTTCATCGGTGCGCATTTCTGACTTGAGGCGCACAAATTCTTTGGCGACTTCGTCATTGGTTCGCTGCGAGAGTATCCGCAGTACGGTCCATCCGGTCTCGTCCATGTGAATGCGCCTTCCAAGGGGCAGCCAGCAGGCACAGCTGCCCTGCTCCATGATGTCCCGCAACTGCATCACGGCAACTCCTACTAGCCGGTCCTCCCGGGCAAAGCAGTAGTCCTTGACGCAGATATGCAGTTCGTACGACGATGGGCTCTCCTCGTTTCCCATCATGCTGGAAAAAGTTATGTTCACACTGTAAATGCGGGGGAAGGATTGGGCAACCAGAAGTGCACGCGCTAGAGAAAAATTTCTTTAAAGGAGCTGTGACACAGCTGTGTTCTCAGTTTATTGCAGTGACAGAAAATAAAAGTGTCTATACAATATTTACAAATAGAGCTCCTAGCACTTACATAAACCGAAACTTTGTAAATTAAGAACAAAGCAGTGTAAAATATACTTGGACATTCGGGGTGCATCATATTCAAGCAATGTAGTGCCTTTCAAACAAGCAGAAAAATGATCTTTTATAAAGTTTCCTCAAATGCTATGTACATATATGCAGCGTTTTTCAATTGACGTACTCAACATAATTTTGTTGAATAGCAGTAGAAGTGTATGGCAGAAAATCTGGCTATATCACAAAGGCTTTATGGCTATGCATGAAGCTTTTCTGGGGTCTACTGCAATTATGACATGTAGACTTGGCACTCTTCCCCGAGTCTTACATTTGGAGTTGCTAGAAGGTGAAACGACAGAATGATACACTAGAAAGCACCCTAAGGTCATGCTGAAAAACTGGTAAACACTTTAATGATGCAGTATTGATATGCATAAAATAAAGAACAAAATGAAAGTGCGATTGCTGTTAAGTGCTCTTAGAAATAGCAGTGGCTTTGGCAGCTTACTGCAGTGTTTAATTCAGACTTAATGATCAATTTTATTGCCATAAAAAAAGAAAAGAACCAAAAAAGCTCATAATAAACAGCAATAGCTACCAGTTATTCCAAAACTGAGAGCAGAGTGCAGTTCTGAAATTTTTTTTCGGTATAACAAAAACGATTCAGCTTTCGTTCAGCTTTACAGTGATAAACTGGTGGCCGAGACTAATTTAAACTGTCTTTTGGTTTATATCTTACACGCAAGTCTTTCATCCATAAGAACTTGACTGTTCTCTTGAGATGTGCAAACTGAAGAAAATCAGATTGCGATTAGGGGAAAAAAAATCGCACTGTAAAAGGAAACCTCAGCAGCAATTTATCAGAAATAATAAGTCACTGTAGTCAAAGCAGAGATACTCACAAGTGGAAGGTTTCATTGTATTTAGGGGACCAGTTATTGTTTTTGGACTTTGTGGCATGTTTTCGTCGCCGCTCGCTCAAGTTTGGCCCAATGATATTCACTTCCACAAACGGACGGAACATGCTGGTGTTGGGCCACTTGATGTCGTTGGCAGCCACCACTGTGAAAAAGAAAATATATATATATATATACATATATATATATACACAGTCCCTAGACTTAATTCATAATTTATACACATTAGTGGCATAAAATGTAGACAAATTTTACCTGCCATAGTAAAAAATTCTCGCACACATCTCATTATGAACTGCTATAAAAGCATATGTACCGACACGAAGGAAATACAGGCTAGAAATGTGAAGCACAGAACGAAATATTTAAACCAGAATTTGATACATTAACGTACATCATGTTCAACTTATCCGGTATTCACACCACTCGCCATTCCACTAAATTCATCGAATGCATCACAAATGTTGTGTATCGTATACCAGTTTCTTGTAGTAGAGCGTACATAGAGCAGACGGGTGCTATGTTAGTACTCGCTTGAAATAACATGATACATCAGCCAATTTAGGAGGAGGCACGAACCTGCCAGCTCATTGCAACGAGTGCGTTTGCTGACACATTTTTCTCGATGCCGAGATTATAGTAGGATAGCCACGTAATGTTAAGCAGAAACAGAAATAATTTAGGCTCTCCAAGTGCAAGATCATGGACATGATTAGTGTGAAGATGTAGGTGACATCTTTAGAAAAATGTAATCAGAAGGTGCCATGCCCTATGTTGTTATCTGCACATTTCTTTCAGGTGCATGGGCACTTTGGTTGCACTTTGTTACACACCCAATGCTCCCACCTCTACGTTATCATGCCTGGCGCACGTGCGTTTTAGTTTTCCTTTCCAGTAGCTCTTATTTAATTAAGATGTTGCCAGTCGCAGAACGCACGATCATCAAAACTTTTTCTGTGTACGTACGTTTCAAGGCTGGGTTCATCAATTTTTCAAGCAAACTGTTTTATAAAAACAGTTTTTCATACTATGAGTATCCTACTATGTACCTACTACTATGTAGGCTACAGGGGTGGTCAAGCACGAGAGAATTCAAGCGTGATCGGTGGTTCGGGATTCCTTCAAGTTCTGACAAACACAACAATAAAAAAATATCATGACAGAAGACGCACAATACCTTTTACAGTGATCTTGTGCTCGCCAGTTCCAGGGTGCATAAAAAGATCGACCTGCACCGACACTTCTCCAACACTTCCTTCTTCAGCACTCGGTTGATCTAGACAGGCAGGAGTTAATAAAAATCATTTTTTATAACTTAGCTTTTCAGAAATAACCAGATCTTTCCATGTGCACATTGCAAATCAAAGACATGACATCTGGTATCAAGGCAGCTTGAAATTTCCCAGGCCTGTATATTGTATGCTCTCTGAAAGAGTCAGCACTGCAAGTGAGCATTGTTCGAAAATATTTTATACTTACCCATTATGTCCATGTCCTGCAAATAAACTTAATACTATATATCTGATAGCCTGTCTGGTATACCTTGCATACCTTGTGGTAGCACTTGTGTTGTCTTGTTTAGTCCGTTCCTTGATGCGCACTATTGCATTTACATTAACGCTACATATTAAACGGCACAAGCAGCTACGATATATTTTTTATTTATTTATTTGTGAATACCTTAGGGTACATTTGTACATTATAGAGGGGAGGGGCAGAAATATAGTTGAACAACAAAATAAATACAGGATCATGCAAACAGCAAAATAAATACAGGATCATGCACACATTTCGTGAAGATAAATATAATGGTAAATAATAAATGCAAGGAGTACACTTTATTAAAAGACAACTGAACTCAAACCACAAAGAATACACTAAACAGCCAATCATAGTTTGCCCGTTAGTACAATTCAGGATTGCAAGTTTATTAATGCATTCTTAAAATGAGTGGAGTGGATGATAACAACCAATGATACAGGTAGATTATTTCAATTTATTGAAATCTTCGGAGAGAATAGTTGTGATCACGCTAAGGTGTTGTGACAAAGTACGTTGACCTTATGCACGTGATCTTATACTGTGTATTTCAGCAAAAATTTTAGAAAATTTATAAAAATACTAGATTTTACGAAAAGAAGAAGCAATTATTTTATGAAGCAAGCTGGCCGGTTCTCTGTATGTCAATAATTACAAGAAACACATGCATTTCATAGTTAATCAACTGAAATTGTCTGATTGACCTTCTAATTATCGATGTTTGGCAGTTATTGTCAATGGTAAGTCTGTGGTCAAGAAGATTACCACAGATGATGGAGATGGCATAATGGCTTTTCAAAGAACAAAAAAGTCATTTTGTAAAGTCCTGTACTCAGCAAAAACGTAGTGTTCTTTTTTTTGCATGCAACGGAAACTCGGATAAAGAGGGGCGCCAGAAGTCTTGGGCAAGCACAATGTCTGCTGGTTATCTGTTGCAATGACTGCAGTGGCCAACATATAGATCACGAGCCCTGAGGGGTCTGTATCAAAAATACAGTAGACTCTCAGTAAATGGAAATCTGTCAAACGAAACTACTGCTTAAACGAAACTATAGCCTCTTCAACACTTTGTTTTGGGCTTGTATTCTACACCTATGTTCACCTCTCAGTAAACGGAACTCCTGTTAAATAGAACACATTTTCCCGGTCCCTTCAGGTTTCGTTTACTGAGAGTCTACTGTAATGGGAACACTTTTTCCTGGCGTGACAGTACGTCACAGGCTCGCACTGTGCATGCACTATGGTAAAGGATAAAATCTGCAAGACACCTTGTGCGCCAGTTGTCTGCACCTGTTCATTACAGCTAGATTGTTCTTTCAGCGGACCCCTGTCGAGTCACTTGGTGTGGGTGCAAAATGCAGTGAACTGAACAGTGGTACGACATTTACCTATGTGTTGACCTGATGACACCTGACTGGCCATAAATGACATCACGATGCTTCTTGACCTCATTGCAGTCCCAACTTGGCACCAGCACCCTCTTTCCTATTCACACAAGTGAAAGTTTTCTCGAAGGATAACACGATGGTACCTTATGTGCTGTCAAAGACAGTACATGTGCCTTTAAGTACTGTCAAGATCTGCTTACCAGGAAGCCTTTGAGTTTTGAAAAAGCTCTTGGAAAATTTAAGTCAACACCAAAAGGATCTATTTTGAAAACGTCAGAGAAATTCTAGCAGTATCTCCAGCAAATCTATTTTTCTAAAACTCATTCCAATACTTTTCATTCAAACCCTGTATAAATTTCGATCAAGTTCACCAAAACCAGGGCAGAATAGGCTTGTGACTGACCTTGCTTGGTTTGTGTAGAGACGAAGGTCTTGATGAGGGTGTCTGTGGTCTGGGTGTAAAGGGAAAGGGCATATCGTAGGCTCTGAAGCTCAGGGCTCTTGTCCAAGAATGTCTTCTTGAGGCCATTGCCGTTCGCATGGAAGTATTGCTTAATGGTGTCTAGCGCCACATCCAGCACAGCACATTGCTTTGGCGTTAGGTTCTTCTCCACTTCCTGTACAAATAAACCCACAATTTGTTCAGTACACAATTCAACTCTCAAAGCTCACACAATGATTTTTACATTTATACTAACCTACACACTCCTTTGTTTATATTTTAGTTGAGTGCAGCACTAAATGCAATACTATGGCCTAGGATTTTCTTGCACGATCAAAACTTAGCAATGATTGCAAATAGCACAGCTCATTAATTGAACTTAAAGGACCCCTGAAACCTAAATTTAAAACTCCAAATGTTTGTGTTGCGCAATTCTAGATAAGTAGGTTTTCGTGACATAATTAAGAGCTACGGATGGCCAAAGAGTGCAATCACTGATGATGATGTGTTAGCAGTGACCAGTGACCAGTGGCAGCGTTGCCAGCCAGTGAGTTTCGATGGTAGGACGTATTATGGCTGCATAGAGGCCTAAACGCATGCACTGTATGGCAGCCAAAAGAGGAGTGCCTGGCATAAAATTATGGCAGTGACAAGTGATGTGATCTATGGGTGTGGAATGATCGACTAGTGAGCATGGTATCTACAAGTGAGAGATGGAAAATAGCATCAATGCTTCCTCCAGGCCCTCGAGGCCAAGGGCTGGGAGGCTGGTGCTTTCTGTGATGTAAGCAGCAACCTCTTTTGAATGGTTGTGATTTAGATTGCCTGGGTGTATATGACGTTAAACCTACGTACATCTTTTAAGAAAGCAAACCTACGTACATCTTTTAAGAAAGCAAACAACGATTTATATGCAAAAAGTAGTTCCCTACCTATGAACATCGATGGATACATTGATATTTGTTGTTGATAGGGTAAAAGAAAGGGTCCCTTTCTAACACCGTCGAACAAAAAGTATCTTCTTCTAATAATAGCACATCTAATAGCACATCAAAATATCCACATTTCTCACATATAGGTGGATCACCACCAGCCAGAAGGTGTGCATGTGTGCTTTATGTGTGTCCTCTTCTTATTTCGCAGGTGTTACTTTGGTGCAGCGCAGCTTACGAGATTACCCAGATGCGGCTTGATAATGTGCAGTTTCTTTTGTGCTTGCTTATACCATGAGCACTGCCAATGAGCCCTGATCTTTCTTTTTTTAAAAATATTTCAGGTCTAGTGCAGGAATAGGTGTAGATGCATCGGCAGTGTTCTTGTGGACAGATCCAGCTAGCTTTCCTTGCAACTCGTGGTGCCCTTGCAACTAGCACACTACAACATGCTGTTTGAGTGTATAAATCATGCATAATAGTGAGTAGAGCAACACAAGGACAGGATTTTTGTTCAGTTTTTCAAGCTTTCACCATGCTAAGGGAATCTGTGTGTATCACCGCACTTTCTAGGTTTAATTCTTTCATGTGTTTGAAAAGCTGCAAATATTGCGTAAGCTACTGCTGTGAAGATCCTAGTATTGGGGTGCACAGTGCTGGTCTCTGAAAAGGATGGAATAACAACAGCATAGTATGTATATGCAGAAGTGGGAGACTTTGAGGCATCAGTAAAAAATTTTTGACAAGTGTATTTGTGCTGGAGTTCGAGGAAGTGTGCATATATGTGCAATAGGCACATGTTTAGTTATCCGTGAAGGATATATCGCAATCCATGACTGCCACTGCCACAGCAAGAGATATGCAGTGGGAACCAACAAACGGTGTTCAAGGAGTTGCGCACTGGTTTCTTCAGCTAGGTTTCTCACAAAACATGAGTAGGGCTGTTTCAATGACAAACAGCTGTCAAACTGGCCCACATGCTCGCACATGAGCAGCAGCGGTTTGAGTTTTTAGGCCTCACCAGGTGAGACGAGGCCATGAGATCCGACGACCCAGGAGTAGCCAGGTTTTGTTTGCAAGTTGGGAGTGTAGGTTGAACTACGTACTGCTGCTTTTGATTGATTGATATGTGGGGTTTAACATCCCAAAACCACCAAATGATTATGAGAGACGCCGCAGTGACGGACTTCGAAAATTTCGACCACCTGGGGTTCTTTAACGTGCACCCGAATCTGAGCACACGGGCCTACAACATTTCCGCCTCCATCGGAAATGCAGCCGCTGCAGCCGGGATTCGAACCCGCGACCTGCGGGTCAGCAGCCGAGTACCTTAGCCACTAGACCACCGCGGCGAGGCGTACTGCTGCGTTAGGGGCAGGCGCAACAGCCGAAAGCTTGCTCTGCGTAAGTCACGCAAGTGGCAGAGGCCAGTGCGACGCTGCCCCGATGCACCACTTTGGCATAAGTTGTGCTATGAAACTGTGAGCACCTCTTCCTGACTTCTCTTAAGATGTTCTCTCTGATGTTCAGTGAATTAAGATCTTTTTACTGTTTCCATGCACACAAACGCATGAGTAGGCTGAGTGGTCACCAATGTAGTTTACACAGTCACATGGAGGATTACAGTGTTCAGAAGCGTGGTCTTTCGAAGCACATTTGGCACATTCGGATTGCCCTTTGCAAACAAGGAAGCCGTGACCATACCTCTGACATTTAAAACACCTTCGCGGGCTCAGTATGTATGGCCGGACTCATAGCTTAGTATAGCCTGTTTCTATGTGTTCCAACAGTTACCTTGACCCAGATGCGAGTTACTATAATTTACTCTGTTGTCCTTTCTTGTCTTTATTCCTTATACGTTTACAACATTTTGCTCTTTCCATCCATCAGAAAGCTCAGCGTCAGGCAGCTGGGTTAAGGAGGTAATTGTAAAAAATGATGCTGCAAACGGTATTCATAGGCCTATGTGGGGTGACTGTGATAAAGATATTTCCACAGAATGTCGGATTCAGAAGGATGTTATAATGCATCTTCTCTTACAGTTCAAGCAGAAGGTCACCACTAGCCATATTAGAAACCTTTGAGGCTGATCCCAGTTTCCAAGTTAGATTTCTTGCTACCGAAAATGCGAGATAGTTTTGGCTTTTCCTTCAGACTGTTCACTGTGCATTACATATTTCAGAAACTGTTGGTTGGTCTTTGCAAAAAGTTTAGGGCCACTTCGGTCTGTGACCTTTTCAGGTTACGATTTGGTTTGAAAGAATAGATTTTTTAAGTTTCGGCAGCGGTGCCAGTCCGCCACCATGAGCCAAACAAGGAAACGTGGCAGAAAATGGCGGACAAATCCGCCAACTCCAGTCATACAACAGTAGTATAAGGTAATATGGAATAACAAAGACTGGGTACCCACACAAGGTTAACCCTTACTGTCAGCAAAATTTTAGGTATATGGAAAAGAGAAGTAAACAAGAAACATCAGAAGTGAGAGAAAAAGGCAATGTAGGGAAAGAAAGATAGGTAAAGGCAACTGCTGATTTGCCCTCAGCGGGGCGGCCCAGGGGTGCCATCTAGTGAAGTTGGGGCTAAAGAAGTGTGTTGCCTCTGCATGGGGGCCATATAGGCGAGTGTGTATTGGAAGGAAATGCAATAATAAAGGCAGGAAGGGGAAGATGAAAGCTTACGATAAAGAATTTGTAAACAGGAAATGAGTGCTGGAGTCAGTTGACATACCCCCTGTTTACAATTTCTCATGTAGTGGAAGGAGCATCTTGTAATACGCATGGCAGAAGTGTAGAATTGTGCCAGGCATCAAAACATGTGAATTGCATAACGACTTGATGTTTTAAAAGCCTACTCATCATAAAGTGCTAGGGAATACTCAATCATCATCAGATGCAAAAGCATCAACAAAGCGAGCAGCTGCATTAGTTCCCACGTTGCCTATCAGACGCATGGTGGGCCCTTCGCTGATTCGCAAAAGGAAGAGCTATGGCTTAGTGGGCACTTAACAAGTGTACTTGTGGTGGGAATTCTAGGCTAGTTTGAAATGACCAATTTTAATGCACACAGTCGTTCGTTTCTTTATGGCACGGTTGAGGCATGCAATGAGAACAAAAGCGAGGCTGGCAACTGTGAAGGAGATGTGCATGAGGTCAAATCGCGCTACCATGCTCTAATGCTCTACTCTTGATGCCGGAGCTCAAGCTTCCTCCAAGATTTTTGTCCTCCCTCCTCGCTCTCTCATCAGGCTGCTCTCTAAGATTTTTTGGCTGTTTTTGCGAGTGATTTCTTTAGTTGGCACTGTGTTTAAGATGGGGCATGCCACTTACTGTAAAGTGTGTGCTGGCATGTGAGCATGTTATGTGTAGTTTTACAATAGACAAAAATTATGGCAGGAGAATGTGCCTGGTGTGTCGCATCCTAGCTAATGATGCAGCATCCGTGTCATTTCATCAGACGATAGGGCCCCAATTTAGAAGGAATGCTCTCAGTCTCACCTAAGTTCAGAGGCATGTAATGTTCAGTGCTCCGCTACAGTGGGGAGCTAGTTTATGTTTAGAATAGGCATTTTGAAGTGCTGACAATATCTATCAAGATTGATGATGATAGCTATATTTATGCATTATGTTGGAGAACTTACAATAAATTTTTGTGATTGTCAGGCAAGGACCCACCCATTAAAGGCATCCTGGACAACTTTTTAAAATAATCATTGAATGACCTTTGCATCGGCACTCATTTCCTCACAAATATATCGCCATAAAAATTTTTCAAGTTCTTCAAGATTGAAAGTAGTTACGGAGATTAATGACTAAAAGCTTAATGAGAGATATTTGTTAATTAACCATTTCAGTACAACTTTAGGAGTGGCAAAGTATTTCTGCGTCAACGTAGAGTTCCTGTGCAATGGCTACAGGTGCCAGACTTTTATAACATTTTTATCAAAAATAAAAAAAGGTGAGTCTCAAAAGTGCCGCATTTGATGCGCGCTGGTTGGCTATTGAGAAAAACCAGAAAAAAGCGGGCGCCATCTAGTATTTTCGTCGATGTGACACAGCTTTATGGTTCTCCGGATATGCCCGGAATAGACTATCAGACCTTATCATCATCAGTTGGTGGTGAAGTCTACCATTTCATTGACATAGCCAGTAGTTTCTAGTATTTGATTCTGGTTCGATTGTGAAGCACTGAGACTTTCAGCAAGCGTTAGCTTGGTGCATTTTCAGTACTCATTTTTTTTGCCAGAGTGTCTTTTTTGTGATTTAAACCGTGCAATGCACACATGATTTATCAGGCGCAGCAACGTGTTGAGATGTTGACGTGATGTCGCTGCGGTGGCACACTACAGCTGAACCCTCCGAGTACGCCGAGTTGTACTCTAAACAAAAATACATTTCACACAAAGTGACATTCTTCAAATATTATACTGTGCTTTAAAGTTGAAAGCACGTTCAGCCTGTTTCATATTTCGGATAGCTACAGCCAAGCCTGGCTACTGAGTAGAAGTTAGCATACACTCAAAAACTCCACACTCGGGTCGCTTTGCACTCATACAGTGCGCCCACCCTTGTGTTGTCCGATATTTATAAACAAATGGCGAGTGCAAAGATGATGTGCTGGCCAGTTATAAAACACATCAGATATTACATCACCAAAGGCGATACTGTCGCCTTTTGCGATTGTTTCAGATAATGGATTGTGTAGAATGCCTCTTCCTCTACTAACATGCAGTCTCCTTCTTCCCCAAAATTTATGAGTTCTCATATTGTAATGCAGCAGCCTAAATTGGGTATTGCCTCTTGGTAACTGGTGTGTGCGACACAGTGACTACGACACTTGTTCTTATGGTGTCAGATGTATGACATATCTGACTTGGCAAGTGGTTTATCAAGTGATGCAAAGAAATGTTGCAAAGAAGAAAAAAATGCGAAGAAGAAGAGAGGAAAAGAGAGCTGTTAGATTAAGCAAGCTGGTAACAGGTGCAGAGAGAAAGGCTCACCATGACACCCAGTGTGGGGAGTTTGTTGGCAGCAACATGATTACGAAAGAGCCGTGACACGTCTTCAATTTTGGCATTGGGCAAGTTGGGAAGGATCATCTGTGATAGCGCAGAAACAGTAGAAAAGACGGAAAAGAAAGTGGAGTAGCGAGGACAGATAAAGACTGTTAGAAGAAAAAACAGGTTGAAAGAGGCAGTGACAGCTTAACTAGAAAGGCAGGAGATTATATTTTCATGTTCAGTGATGCCAGGTGTCGGAGCATGATGGCATGATGATTAATGAAACCAGGGGAAAGGAATGAATAAATCTGTCATTGATGTCATTACATTGGTTGCTAGAACTCACTTTTGTTGTCCCTTATTTTTCAAACTGATTTATACTTCGATATAACATACCTTGCGGAAGAAATTACCTATGCTTCCATCAAGTGCAGTAGGACCCTTGATGTGCCCACATTCACGTTAAGTTTAGGAATTTGAAACTTCACACAAGGCATCTACGTTGAGTTTCTGATCAGGCATTTCTGGTAGCTATGATAAAATCTGTCTCCACGCAACGAATTGGCACTGACCCCAACATTTGCACACAGAAAACGAAAACAAGCACACTTGTGTTCAAGCACTCGCACTGGTGTTTGCAATCTTTGTATGACGAGGCCGCCTGTTCAGACTTCTTTTTAGAGACTCAGGTAGCGGGGGCACGGCCTGATGCTGGAGAACGTACATACTACTACCTCACCATAATATGGTTCCCTCATGTAGGCTCCCTTGCCACTAGTGTTCTGCACACACAGTTGCTATTTTTCTTGGTTCTGATACATGCATTTTAAATGGTGGAGGGTAGTCTATCAAAAGTGATGGGCAGTGAAGCAGATTGATGGGTGGCATTTATACCGCTGTCCACAATAGGGAGAACCCTGATGTGCAGTTAATGTCTAAACACTGCCTAAAACTGCATGGAAACAGTGCAAAAACAGGACTAAGAAGAAGTAACACAGAACACAGACGCGAACCAACAACTGAAGCAAGTTTATTGTGTCAGAAAGCATATACCAAAAGTAGGAGCTAAAAAAAACAACTAAATCATGAACTTTCACGTGGTCACAGTGTTGAAATCACAATAAAAGCCTGCCACAAGTCAAGATATCCCATTTAACTTGATAATTACGCTATTTATTCCTCTAAAAGTGCAACACAGGGCTTGCTGACGCAGATGTTTTTCTTCTTCTTGATATGAAAGGCTTCATCTCTTTTATGTTTGACCCGATTTCAGTATACATATCCTGAGAGCACCTCAGTCATTGAAGAGTGGAGTGCAGTCACACGAACAACAATGAGCTGCCAAAGTGCAGCGGACCTGAGATTGCATGCATGCTAAGACAGTCGTTCATGCAGCGGTTGGTTTGTCCCCAGTAAAACGGTCATATAAAAGAGGAATGCATATACGAAATTGTCAACACATTTGCCATATTGTGTCCTGTTGTTTTTGACATGTGTGCTTTTTGGGCCTACTTCATCCCATTTTTGTGCTGTTTCCATGTAGTATATCACATATCAAGCAGCCTTTCAAGACACAATATTGCCTGAAAAAACATCCACGTTTTCACCTATCTGTTATGCACATAACAACTGAATTGCTGACTTATCAAACGTTCCAGAGATGAAAGGGTGTAACATGCTCCAATAAAAACAGTAAAGTTCATTTAATGCTTTCATGCAATTTGTAATCATTTGTTGGTGCATCACCAGTTTGTACTATGCTTTCCCAGGTTTAACTGTAAGTCATGGCTATGGGTGTTCTGCTTGATAATGGTATCATAACATAGGCAATGCTTCACCAAGGACAACCCTTGTTTCGATGAACGCCATCCTCACTAATGAACGTTTGCTGTAGCTAATGGCAGCAAAACCAAGTGACACTTTGAAAGCAAATAAAAGCATCTTACGTTCTTCTCTCCCATTGGCGGAAGCACCACCGTTTTCTCCATTGTGTGCATAACAATCTTCCAGAGTTCCTAAGAGGGAAATATTCAGGGATATTAACACTACTGTCAACATCATTTTGGAGCATCGTGTCAGAGATGCAAGAGTAAGGAAATTAGTTGGCTGCATCAAACCACAAAGCCATGCATACAGAAAAAAGTGAAGTATGTTGAATGTGACTGATGAATTTGAGGTAATTTTACAGCTAAGGGTGTAGCCAGAGAGTGGCCCACTAGGCCTGTGCTGTCCCTTCCCATCCGTGAAAAAGAGATCCTGGCTACGCCACTGCAACTGCAGTTTTAAGTGTCAGCACTTCAAGGTCCCCTTCCTATGACAGCCAAAGCAGGCTTAGTAGTCTCGTTTAAATGAGTTGACCAAAATGGGTCCTAAGCTTTTCCAATTGAAGAGTATTATCTTCTTTTTTTTGCTTACTTTGTTTTGTAATATGTTTCAATGTTTGCAAATAGGAATGTGATATTGAACAAATTCGGAAGGTATCGCAATTCCCACACTGATCACAAGCCCTTCAATAAATGCACCCTGGAGACTTCGCTTTAGTTCCTGTTGACATGTAGTTTAAGATATTATGAGTCATGGTTCTGTGAATACTTTAGTATAAAATTGCTTTTTTTGGTGCTACATGGCCGAGCTCAGCAAAGTGCATAAAAATACCCTAGACCCCTAGCATCCTGTCTCATTCGGGCTAACCCAGTGAACTATGCTGTGACATCCCGCACACAGTGCCTTCAGTGCTTGGGGCGGTCCAGGGCCATTGTATAAGTGACACGATGCCTACTCAGTGAGGAGCGAATACATACAGGATGGTGATGTTGCTAACAGTACTAGCAGATTAGTCACAGTATTTACAAAACGCGCGAAAGTTCTTCAACACTCGAGACAAACAAACACGAGTGGGTCTCATATACTCACCTTGAGCAAACGCTTGAGCACGGTGCGCTCACAGACCTGAGCAAACATGGTCAGCTTGCCATCGAGAATGTCCATGAGAGGGTGCAGCACGTGATCCGCCTCGGCTGCTACCTCGTTGCGCTGGGACGTTTGGTTCATGGAAACCTGGCCACTGCCTTTGACTCCAGCCAGAAGGGAGCTGAGCTCACCCATGCTTTGCTTGATGGTTGGCTCCAGGCTGGAACAGTTACGTGCATCCCATTCAATGTTAAATGTTAAGAATTGGCAATATGCTCTAAAGCACTGTAAGCAAATTGTGCTCGAAATAAGAATTTCAGCTAATACATAGGGTGCTTACACTGTCTCATACTATTTAATATGATTAGCATATATATCCTTGTAATGTCAGTTAACAAGTGCAACAAGATAAGCTCAGTGATCTTATATCAATCTCTGACAAATGCATGATCACTCTGGAAAATGAATATTTGCACAAAATGCATGAATTGAGCTTTCTTCAGTGAAGCAAAGTTTTATTTTAAGAGAGGCTACCAAGGTGTTTCTGGCAGTGGCTATCCTGAACGGTGCTTGTATGTTCCTGCTACATAAAAAGGTGAACCAAATGAACAGGTTCTGCAGAACCACTTTGCCAAGTGATTAGCAAAAAAAGAATAGAAAGAAAAAAAGAAAGAGTCCTTCAGTACTATTTACTTTCATTTTACCAGCAAGGTGCCTGAAAACAATCATTATTTTTATTCCCACCAGCTTAAAAGTGTGCTAAAGCATCACATATATTTTTACAGTGTAGAATTCATTTCTTGATTTGATGCAATGCATTTGCTTCAGATCAACATTCTTTGAATGTGTTAAATTAACTCAATAAAGCATGTTTACAGGACGTGGGTGCAACAATAACTGTAGCTTAGAATTACATGCATTTCAGCTGCTTATCCCACAGTTAGTGTGTGCCAAGATGTTCTAAATTCAACAGTAATGATTGCATTGGCATTGTAATAAGATGGTTGTGCAAAAATGAAACTGAAAATTAAATTTAGCAGCGATGCAATGATGACTTACCTTTTGGCAAAAACTATGCTAAGGTCATCCAGGACACCATTTAGTGACTGCTGAAGCTCTTTGAGTATGTTGCTAGCGTCAGCTTCAAGCTGCAAATAAAATGCAAAAGAAGGTACTGTAGTAATCAGTCATAACCCACAACAGCTTCCACTGGAACAAGAATAGAGCATATAAACTTGCAGATCTAATGTGTATTGAATTTAACAGTAACGATGAATATTTTCAAAGTATTTTGTGATGATTATATCATGTTCTTATAATTAACTATAACAATTTTAAAATTAGCCAAGCATGTACGTGTGCTGTTGTGACAGATTTTGACAAAAAAAGTGGAATTAGAGAAACCTTCAACTACTGCTTTATAATGAAATTCCCAGGAAACTTCTGAGTGAACATGTACTTGCAATAATTTACAGAATAAGCAATGCAAGTTCCGAGCTGGATATTTTGCGAATTAGTATCACAGCAAGTTAACAGTTTCATTTCCTTTGCATCATGCAGATTCATCTAATGCAGCAGCCAATCAATGCAATATGAGAAACTTGAGTAGCACACGTCAATGCTACTGTCAGTGCATGATGACTCTTTCTCATCTTTTTCTTCTCTCTGAGATACCATTATCATCTTAATTTGCAATTACTCCTTAGTTCACACAGCACTTCTCTACCTTGGTAAACTACCATGGTATGCATGCCCCCTTAAAAGTGCCTAAACACATCTACCCATTATGAAAAACAACTATTTGATCAAAGGTGAAAACAGCCACCAGAATCCTAGGTCGGCGAACTCTCTCATGAGTCGACTCACTCAGACTCATTTGAGCCACGAGTCTGAGTCTAAGTGAGTTCGGGCCAGGAAAGTTTTTGCAAGTCTGAGTCCGAGTGAGTTCGGCTGAAGAAAATTTTGGTGAGTGTGAGTTCGAATGAGTTTGGCACAGGAAAATTTTTGGTGAATCTGAGTCCGAGTGCGTCCAAAGCATAAGATATATTTCTTGAGTAACAAGTACTGCTGACTGGGTGAGTTGGTGCATGATAAAATGATATTGCTTTAGCGCAGCTCAGTTTGAGCGCTCACACTGTCATCTGTTTTTTTCCCCTTCTTGAGTGCATAGCATCTTTTCTTCACGCTCAAATTGAGCTGCGCTAAAGCAATATCATTTCTTGAGTGAGCCTGAGTGAGTTCCATTTTCATTTGCCGACTTATGATCATATCTATATACTCTTCAGCATTACTATCAGCCTCACGACTACTCCCACATATTCCAAAGCAGTGTCCATCATACATCATTTAAATATTTATTGACAGAAGGTGTGAATTAAGTAGAGGGGTGTCTTGACCTGGCCCTCGCCAACTATTCTGGGGAAGTTCTTAATAAATATATCTTACGTTGTCTGCTTCGGTACTTCCGGTTCGAGGCCTATCCCTTCGTTGCTTCAAGGTGCCTGCTGCGCAGTGTAATCGGGGCGGAAACACGTGCAATTCTGTGATGCTTTTGCTGCTGTTTGCTCAATGATTGTGTTCTTCAATTCTTTTTTTTGTGAATGGATAGATGATATTTCGCGCATTTCAGGGAACGAAGCAAGACTTGGACATGGGCAAAAACGAGGAACGTTGAGAGATGGCTTTCGAGCACATGCGTGCGGTTATGCTTTGAAACATGCAGTGATATATTGCACAATGACCTCGATTTAATATTTTCGAGCACATACACTTACCAAGACAACTTCAAAATCACTCAGACATATGTTCACATGCTATCATATGTCAATATACGTTAGATGTCTACATATGTAGGCGCACTTTGCACGATCAAGTATGCCGATATAGTATACGTCTATTGCATAATCTGCATAGCTAACAGTCCTAAAAAATTGATTGAAATAGGTGAGTGCGTAAAAAGCCCAGTGAACAATACGGCCACTCAAATAATGGTATCGTGCGACGTAAAAAGACCGAAGTCACTTTTGAAGCAACGAGTAGCGTGGTATGACGTCTCTGTTATGTCAGACTTGCAAGCGTGTAGTGCTGATAGGTCATGTTATACTCCGACTCATAGCCTTAAAGACTATCTTGCACAACTGTACAGTGAGTGCGGATAATTTTGCGCGCATTGAAAAACATCGTTTGAGCGTGTGAGGGACGACACCTAATTTAGAGAGTTATTTAGAGGCGTAAAAAAAGAAAGCTGGAAAACTACGAGCACGTTTCGTTTATAGCGTTCGAAACACATTACTACGGCCATTCGTTATATTGAGTCCTGAATGATATCTTTGCAACCAAAAACTGAATAAATCATTTTACGGGTTCGTGAGCAACATGAAAACAGGTGAACGAATATTTTGTGATCCCAATGTGTGTAGGAATTTTTGCGTGAGACAAAACATGCGCAACATAACCTTCGCTGTAACACAACAAGCATGTGTCCAGACGTGCAAGCCACTTCAATGAAAAAATGATTGCTCGCACGAATACAACTATCTCGTAGTGATGGCATTCGTTAATCATTCATGCTGCATAGCACTCTAAAAATATTACGCAGCAATGTATAAGAAAATGGCACCACGAGTACAAGGTGGAACATGCTAAAAACGCCAGCACTGGCAAGAATGGCCGCACGGCATCACGGCACCTCGAACCGGAAATCGGCGCATACGGGCGCATAGCCCACAATTCATTGCGTGAGCCACGATTTTGCTATCCACCTATTCACTCGTATTCGAAGGTACTATATCGATTGAAGCCCAGAAGAGCACCAATTACATGAGATATTGGTGTTAAAGAGCATGGAAACCAGGCTTGAAAGAGTTAATTCAAAACGAATGGACTCATGAGTCGACTCACTCGGACTCGCTCACACTCGGACCAAGCCATGAGTCTGTGTCTGAGTGAGTTCGGGTGAGTTATTGTGAGTGAGCCCGAGTGAGTTCTGTTGAAGTAAATTTTCGTGACTGTGAGTCTGAGTGAGTACGAGTCAGAGCAAGTCCAAAGCACAAAATATGTTATATGAGTGAGTCTGAGAGAGCTCCTCAAGTTTTGCCGACCTATGACCACAATTATCTACTAGTTCAACTGCTTCCTTGGCAAAAAAATTAAGGAAAATAACATGATAATTTCCTAGTTGTAGTAGGGAGAACTTGTACTATCTGCTTTTCAGAATGTAAGCTTGCACCAGTTGTATATATTAGTTTGTTGTTTTAGACTAGAATCAAAACAAATAAAAATTTGAAGGTAATGTTGAGAGTCGCTAACTTGCTACAATGCAATGAATAAACATTCCATGTATGAAATGCTGGGATGCCACAGCAGTATATATTATATTTCCCCACACCATCTCTCAAGTAGCAAAGTGAACAGCTGCTCTTTGTAGAGTTAGCTCCCTTTGTTAGGGGGCAGGACACAATGCCACAACAGCTAACATATGTCATTATCCATGCGTGCTATGTATAGATGCTGTACTTGCATAACTCAGAATAGTACATCACCTTGGTGCTGTTAATAATGTCCCTGATGTGGTGTGTAATGCATTACAAAGAGAAGCATGAAGGTGCAATAACTCTTGTATGATACAGTCTAAACCAGCTTGTGACATATGATAAACAGAACTGAAGAACAAAGCATTGCTTACTGCTTCAGCATACAAATACAGCAGCACATTACTGTCTATACAACTGGCAGTTTATACATCTGGATCACAGGATGTAACTACGAAAATAAAGTAATGCCAGTGAGGATTCACAGCTAATATAGCGATGAAGAATGGTAAGTGCTCCCCAAGTGCCAAGTAATCGCCACATAATGCTATGAGACTTACTTTTTCTCCTCCCATGGATTCGAAAAGCTTTTCAAGTTGTACCCTCAGTTGCTGAATATTGTTCATCAAAATGCAAGCCTGAAATTGAAAATTGAATGACACAGCATAACATAAGTATGGGCACGAAAGTACTGAGGCTTTCTTTTTACACCGTGATTATTTCCTAACAAAGATGTATACAAAGTCAGATATTCAAACGTAAAAGAACTAAAAATAAACATATATGTTTCACACTCCTGCAAAGCAGCTTGAAGAGTGGTCTGGAGAAAAATTCAATCAAATTCATAGGGCTTCACTTGGTTTTATGTTATAATGAAAGTTCATAATTGTCAGAATTTTACATCCCAAAACAACAACATGATTATGAAGGACGCTACAGTGGAGAGCTCCGGAAATTTTTACCACCTGGAGTTCTTTAACTTGCACTTAAGTCTAAGCACATGGGCTTCTAGCATTTCGCCTTCATCGAAACTCGGCTGCTGCAGCTGGGATTCAATCCTGAGACCTTTGGGCCAACAGTTGAACAGCACACAATGAAAGTTACTTTACTTTTTGCATGTGTTTACTAGTTACCGATTGCAACTGAGACATAAATCATCAAAACGAGCCGATTTAGTATGCAAGGTTCAGGTGCCAATTGTGTATATGTTTGTCATTTTCTTGCCTTAAGATGTTATGTTCTCGGGAAAAGTAGTGTTTTGAACAGTGCCAATTGCCAATGAACAGTGCAATCGCTGCAAGAAGAAAAAAAAACAATGTGAAAGGTGTGAACTACAGGCTGTATAGCACATTGAAATGTAGAAGTCTGGTTACATGTATCAAGAGAATGCAACTGTTTTGGGAGTGTATGTTTTGTTTTAATATATTAATTAATACTGAACTATTGACTATTATAGCATAGATACATCAAGCCATTTCTGGATGGAACAGTGCAAGGGTAATAAAAATAACTAATATTCTATTCTGGAGCTGTTTTTGAAATAGTGTAGTGCATTTACACTGTACAAGACTACCGCATGACAGCTAGTGAATCGGCATCAAATTGTATCTATACTTCGTATGCTATCACCATGGCACTAAACAATCACAGCCTCCCAGTATTTATTGAACACATAACGTACCTGCAAATTTAGACCTTTTTATTAGCTTTGATATGAGACATATATGTTAAAGAGAACAAAGGAAGGAGGAAGGCAACTCACAGTTTTTTCCTGCAGGACATAGTTTGGAAATTCCTTCTTCACGATGTCTGCATACGCCGTCAGGACTTTCACAATTGTCTGTGCAGAAGAAAATACCAGAAAAAATAAAAGCAAGGTGTTTACGACAGAGGCAACAAAACAGTGAACTGCAGCACGGATTGTGCTTTCCAGCGTACCTTGGCAAAACGCTTCATGTAGCGCTTCACAAGCTCGGGGTCTGGGCATTCTAGCTTGCTAATAACGTCAAAGCACTGCGTGAGTTGTGTAAAAACGTCCACCACGGAATTGGAAAAAAGGGCATGCTCCGAACTCTGCAGGAACTGCAAAAGACAAGAAAAAATGCCAACATGCTTTTGATTGCGGCACATACTTGCAACACTTTGTGAGCCCATCTGATAGGCTGAAACTTCCACGTAACTTCATCAAGAATGCGTCATCATTTGATAATCTAAGTTGCTATTTTACTAGATAGCCCATCTAACAATTAAAATGTCTATAATACATAGAGTGTATGAAATCAGAAAAGAAAAATGTAAGGCAGCTTATGTGCTATTGTTAGGCAGAGTACTTGCAGTCCCGTGAATGCATTGTGAATATCCTACCACTTGGCTACCAATCGATGCCCATGCGATTATATTTCTTTTGTACATCACCATTGACACTATTTCGAGCCATCAACTTGTAGCCATGCTTGCTATAATGGCAAGCACCACTGGCACACCTGCAAAAAAGAGTAGCTAGATGTTTGATATGATGACATTAGCTCATTCTGGACATATCGAAATAGCGCGGCAGCTATGCTCTTCTGTGCTTCAGTGCTGCTTTCGAAGGCAAAATTGCTTGCATTTTATCACTTCGCAACAGTTAACAGCAGCCATTTTCAGGAAACATCAATGCGGCAATGGGCCCTTCGAAGGAGAAACTTTGTCTTTGTTGATTAAACTTATTGTCTCCCCTAATAAGAAAAAAGATAATTATTTGTATGCACATAGTTATGGTCATAATTATTACCCATAGTTATGGCAAGATTTCTGCTTCTACAGAAAGACTGATTCTGAATGTTGCCAACTAATATGACAGTTCCCTTATTTGGAAAATTTTTGGATGCACACGTAAAATGGTGTGTAGAGCCTTTCCCCAAAATAAAATCTTTGCTATGCCTGCGGCACCTATAATTAAGAATTGAGTAATGTTATGTGACAGCAGCTACCTTACTTCCTTGGCATGCTTATCAGTCAAATATCTTTGCATCGCCACAAAGGCAGGGTTTAGAGAATCACTACAGTTGCCAGTGGATTGGTATGTTAGAGCAGTTGTTCAAGGCTGCGAGGCAGTCTACATGGTGTTGGTGGTGGCTTCCACTGATGCCGTTTGAGACATGCAGTGCCGGTCAATGAAAAGTAAAAAAAAAATAAGAACTTCTGAGATTTGACAGGCTGAAACCCTTTTGTCACCTAACACGTTGGCTATGCGAGGGAATATTGCAGAGGAGTCCGAACTATGAGACACGTTCCGAAAACCTGGAATTTTAAAGTCAGTCATTGATTGCGCATACCAGATCTATGTGCCTTTTAGTTGTTTGGTGCTCCTTAGTGACGCTTTCCAATAGAACCTATCGCAGCATCTACATCTGCAACAGCAGGGACACAATAACTACCAACCATCGTTTCCAGATCTGGCTTTATACGGTATGTGAATGCAGTTGAAAAGCTGGGGAGGGACAAGGCATGTAGGACAAGGCATGTTTCACCTACACTTGCACGAAACCTGGAAAGCAGGGTTGCATGCAGTGTTTTGAGAGAGATACCCTCAGCGAGACACTAGTGGGATCTGCCTAAAACTGGGCATGAAGGGAAGGGTGTTTCCGCCTCAGTAACGTCATCAGAAAACTGCGTCCGAATGCTTCTAAGGCGCTTTTTTTGTTTTCTACATGCTCGATTTCACTTCCCTTTTGTGCTCCACCAACGTCGTTGGCTATTTATTGGGCTAACTGTTGCCTTGTTCGTTTTTACTGTTGGTGAGAAGTGGGATTTATCCATAATGGCACATGCCCATTTAGCAAGTAGTGAGATTGACCCACTGTGGTACATGCCCACTTTCATGACACACTATGACTACATGACACACCGCAATGACAGGAAACACCAACAAGCCTAGCCTCTAAGGTGCTCTGCACCTGAAAGCAGGTTACTTACGCCATCTTTTTTGTCACGTAGGAAGGCACTGTGGAGGTATTCTAGAGAAACATCGTCATTCTCATTGAGCCATTGCATCACAAAAGGTTCAAACAACCTGAAAAGCGAGAAAGTCTGATGTGAGCGTGGTTGTACAACGAGATGTATTGTGCTCAACAGCATTAATTGCTACAGATGTGATTGAATTCAATGTAATCAAAAAGCCTTATATGCTTCTTGGAAACAATCACCGAAATTAAAGGCAAATTTTTTGCTCTACAATCAAACAGAACAAGTTCTACATGAACAGTTCAACTAAATTAAGAGTAGTGTAGTATTATCCAAACACAAGTAGATACTATAAAATACAAAATAATTTAATGAATTTAATGAAAGATGTCATTTAATGAAACACGTAAATAAACAGACAAAGTAAGAGGTTAAATTGATAACAACAGATAAAATTTATTTTCCCACAGCAGGAAAATGAACCTAGATTGTTGCATCATCACAGCTATTTAGTCCTCCCAGTGGTATCAAAGTGAACAGCAGTATTGCATACATGAAGTCAAGTATTGGGCATGGAAAGTTGGTTGATGATGGCTACTTACGAAGCATATTCAGGCACCGTGTCTTTATAGGGAGGAATGTCCTTGATGTAGTTATTGTAGAACCACTTCACCTTGAAGTGAAGGTTCATGTAGGCTGAGCTCTTGCACAGCCTCAGCTGCTCATGCTCTGTGAGGCAAGACAGGAGGGAAACGGGCACAAAAAGATTCACATGGCTTCTCTATGATGTTTTAGTGAGTGCATGCAGTTAGGAAAGGCAACTGGGAGTATGCTACAGATCAGTCTAACACTTTGAACTGCCTGGAGGCATCAGTCTAAGGCTTTGAACTGGAATATTCAAGGGGAAAAAATATCACTGATACAAATATAATATTGGGAAAGAGATTAAGTAAATATAAACAATATATGAATTTAGGATTAAGTTTATATGGTACGATTCTGATTGAATTATGTTTTGATAGAGTCATCAGCCAAATTTACTCCAGCTAATATTTTATTAGCAAATGGCAAGTAATGTAAATAAAGGATAAAATCTGTACTGTGCACATTGCTTTCAAGGCAGTTCGGCAATAGGAATGAACGACAGCCAATCAGTGAAATTCGGGCGAAGCTTAATTTTTTGAGTAGTCCTCATTAGTCCAGTTAATTGGTAGCCTCCTCTACTTCTGTAATTCTAAAGGTCACAGTTGCCAAACCTAACATATTTCACACTACTAAAACACCCTACAAGAGCAGTAAATAAAGTCTAGGCAGCACCACTACAAGTTCTCACATAAACATTCCATCTCGCAGAGCTGAAGAAAAGTGATCCAGGATGCAGCACAAAACAGGCTAAAAGCCAAACCCCACGATTGGGACAGTTCACACACATGCCCATACATGAGAACTTCCGAGTGCTGTAGCTGTTACTGTTATGATTAAAGGAATGTTTATTGTGCCAAAAAGGCAAACTAAGAGAAGAAGTGCACTTGGAGAGCCGGAGACATGATTGTACTGTCCCAATTGCAGGCCTAGTTGGAAGAAACATCCAGAAAAGACATCTGATGCCACCATGACAAATATGGGTGCTCATTCTCTCTACTGCAGCAGCATCACGATGCGAATAGCCTTCGTCGAACATAGGCCATGCTTGTCCCAAAACAGTGTTCTACAGTGATCACCAGACGATGGACTTGCAGGGCTCAAAGTAATTGAGAGTTACATGTTTTAGTGAGGCTCCATAATGATATTAACAGATGATAATATAGTGAGCATGAACGAAAGAAGGTGAAATGAGTCAAAAGCCAATTTTTCTGTTATACACAACCTAATAATGTTAACAGATAATCAGGACAAATAAAGCATAAGAACCACTAATTTAAGTGCAGAAATAATGACATAAAACTAAATGAACGAAAGTGAACAAATAAAAAGCACCTCTCCAGCAGTAAAAACAACCCAAATTGCGGATTTGGTTCCCACTGCCAAGGGCTGCTGCTAGCAAATCATGCAAGGCCGATGTAAGGAAGCGTGCAACTCCACATTAAAAAAAGTAACATAGCGCCATTTTGCAACAATTGAGGACTGCTTGTCCAAAGGACGTCAACAGCCTACAAAGCTGTCCAGTGGCGATAATACTTCGAGCCCCACTAGTATCCAGTGCAACATGGGACACAAGCACAGCTCACCCACCACATGTGAACTAAACATCAAAAAGCAGAAACGAAAGAAGTCACCAAACTTTGCTTACTACGAGAATCAGACTTGCTTGCTTGCATTTTTAACCTACATTCTAAAGAGGCTCCCACACAAACACTGCCCTATCACAGAGCAATGAATTTCATCAGCTGTGCAGAGCAATAATGTGTCAAGACAAATGCTTTATGAAAAATGTTTATTTTTTTTTCCAATTCTAGCAACGCATGGCTGATTCTAGAGAAGGAACAAAAAGAGCTAATTAAGGTTGACTTTATTCTTAAAAAGATAAGAGACAACATGGAAGGCTAAGAAATGAGTTAACGAAACAAAGTGGTAATTAGTAGACAGAAAGCTCTGAGGCAGGGCTGTGTTTGTGCGTAATGCTCCTACCTGCAGGCTACTACCTAGTAGGAAGAGAGGGGTCTCAAAATGGAGGCAAGAAAAAAAAAGGGGAAAGAGAAAGAGCGGGCCATCTCCGATTGCACGTCTAGTACATACCGGCCTTGGTAAGGTGTCCTTTATGGGAGAGAGCACAGGGTTCAGAGCATACACACACCCAAGGGTTAGACAGTGAGGGGGGCTCATTAGCTGCTACCACAAAGGGCAGGGGACATGAACATCAGGTTTCAAAGAATGAGATGCTCAAAGCTAGGTCCCAGGGTAACAAATGACAAGCAACGTGGCACCACTAAGTAATTATTGTCCGGCACCTTTCTGCACAAAGTGATGAAAAATAACTTAACACTAGTGGGAAATTGACCATCACGTTTCTGTGTCATTAGCTAAGCGTTTGAATGTTCAGTCATAAACTTGTGCAGGTCACTTGAATATTTAAGGCAAGTATGTCAATGTTGAGGATTGCATCTGACATTCTCTACTTTTAGCTCAGAGTAGTCCATTTTCTTCTGCTAGAAAACTGAGATCTGTAACTCTTAGTTGTGGTGAAGGAAAGAAGGATGAACTTATGGGCTTGTTTTTTTGTTAGACACAATATATTGAGAACTGATAGATAATTATTTAATAAGATATAATTATAAAGCATAATTACATGGCATAATTGTCTGTCAGTTCTCAACAATATAGTCGCAGTTGTCTTGTAATACGAGTGTTCTTGATACTGTCCCCATTTCTACGGTAGGTAAAATGCTAATTTCTCAATCTCCAGACGAATATTGCCTCAGAAGTTCCTGATGTTTTTGAAATTTTGAGATGACAAAATTATTGAAAAAAAAAAGAAGGAAAAATGACAGCAACACAAACACTCGAGCTAAGCACCTCATATGTGGCTGCAAATTTTCGTACATGTGTTCTAGTACATGGCATACAACTTTTATGCTTCCTCATACATACAGCATAATTTTTGTGTGTGTGCGTTTCACCAACATGTACATTGCACAAATAACAACTAGAAAAAAGAAACAATATTGATCTATACTGCAAGAGAATGTGATTTTTATTATGACAGATACTGCAAATATTATAGAACATACTGCATAGTCAGTTTAGTGATCATGTTGTACGTAGTAAATAACATAGGCTATAATTCTAATAGTCTCCTAAAATAAGTATATATATTTTTTTAAATGAGGCAGAAGTATTTCAGTTCACTGTTTCAGCTACTAGAAGCAAGTTTGTACTAAATCGCAAAGTAGTAATTATGACTGAAGAAGAGTGTGATACATATCTTATGTCTCTGATTGTGAAAAGAGATGCTTCAAGAAAACCTAGTATCTCGATCTGCATTTTAAAAATATTGATGCAACCAGTCTACCCAGATCCACTGAATAACGGAGACCTATCATGTTGATGTTCTACCTGGTGAAGTTGACCCAGAACCAATAAATATCCTGTTCTCACAATTCCCTTCAATCATCTACTGCCCCTAACTAAAGTTTCTTTACCCTTCCAACAAACACACTTTATATACTACATAACTTGACAAACTCATTTTCTTGCTCTTTATCTTAACCTGAAGGTCAGCTACGAGCATTTGTTCTTTAACTGACAGTCACTGCATGACCTTCTTGATTCATGCTGTATGTTGTGTGCATCACTTTGTTTCATCATTTTTTGTACAATCCTAAGGTTCCACTCAAGTGCTTCTGTTATATTTAATGTTTCAAGCTTGAAGTACTATATAGTATTGGAAATAGGACAGATTGCTTTCATGCTTAATGTCCTTTGAGCACATTGCATGCACTTTGTGCCACATTTTGGTTCCCCAAATATGTGCACAAGATAAAAACCCTCACAATGTAAGCCTCTCTCTCACATCTTTTTGATGATGCCATATGCCTGTTCGAAGTGCAAAAACGGTATTCAAGGCAAAAATGGTAACAGTGGACCAGGCCGGTTATTAACTAAAGCCAAACCCTCCTAATGGCTTTCCCTTCCTTAGCTAGCAGCGGATGCTTTACAGTGCCCAAACTGTCTGAAATGCAAGCTTCTTTGAGCAATGAAGTACTGTACATTAATGTTGTCAATTGCTATCCTGGAAATATATTCATCTTGTTATCAAATTATCACCTAGGTATGAAAATAGGAAAGATTGTGAATATAGAGCAGCTGTGAAAAGCTTCATATATCACAGAGACAGGCTATTTATTGCGTGCATACCTTGCGCCTAATGCCATTTTTCAATAGACTCGCTAGGTTCTACATTCAGCATCGGATCTTAATAGCTTCAATGAATATTATGCAAGTAATCTTGTTTAAATAATGCATAAACAAGAAAACCTCTCCACACTGAGGCATTACCTAGTAAAACTTGTTGCTTACCTCGTAGGTACTGTGGTTGAAAAAGAATGGGCTACAACCACGAAAGTAAGAAATCTTCCTTCAGGCTGTTGTTGCTTATCTCTTTCATACAATCTTAAGAGGCATTGCTGATACACATATCAGTAAATAAATTGTTGGTTTGTCTCATATTTTACATTGTATCCCATTATAAATATTTATTAAGCATTTTTACTAAAGGAAAACTGAATCGTTCATGAAGATTAGCTTTGTTTGAAGATTAAGAGAGGAAGAACTTTGCTTTCAATTGCCAAAAGCTTTAGTTTGGAAATAATCTTTGCTACAATAGATGATGGAGATAACTTATGCCTCAACATGAAAAGCTTACTGACAAAGCAAACTGTTCAAAGAATTTCAGATGCAGGTAAGAAAGTATTTGCCATGCAGAACCTTCTTTTATATTCAGGTGCATAGAAGCAGAATGATGGAATGGGTAAAGACAATGCAAAGGTTTCCAAAAATGTGAGCATTCGAGGCTCACATAAGGGCAACACTGGGAGCATGCTAACAAAATAGACATGCTCTTGTCATGGAAACAAAACTGCTAAAGGCACTTGAACAATACCTTTAAAGCGCCTAAACTTCAGCTCCTGAGAGCCTATGTCTTGCTTGTTAGTGACAACATCTATTATTTCGTTAATATAAATGTATTTTGTATTAAAAATGCAAGAATGAAATTATATAGCTGCAATTACATTTTATTCAATTATATACTTCACCTGCTAGCATAAACGGCACACAATGAAAAGGCAGATGAACCCCTGTATTAAGAGATGCACTGCAGGCCATGATGATTTCTTGAAAGAGGGACATCATTATAGTGCTGGATGTGAATGCACACAAGAAAATGCAATGAGCATCTTGTGCATTTTCAAGTCACGAGTTATTTGAGCCTGAATAATCCAAGTGAAGTTTTTGCTTCAGCTTCAACCACAAGGATATTTTCAGTAGAAGGCTGAGTATGAAACATCTGGCTAGAAATGGTAAGCAAAAAAAATGTAAGTAGCAACAGTGAAGCTACAGGACGAAAGTGCAAGGTGCTCATAATAAGTGTTACATTAGGACCTAATAATACATAACACGGAGTTCTTTAACAGAACCTGGAACTATCCAACAACTCACCATCACAGATGCTAAGAAGAAAAGTGGAAAGAGTAGAGCTTTCTTGCAAAGAGAAAACAGGTAGGTGGTAATGCCTCCATACCATTACATGTAAAGCCTCGGTCACCATCACTTCATGAATAATATTTAAGCTTAAAAAATTCACCATGACATTGACAAAGTGAGGATGTGATGCATAATGCCAAAACAATTATACAAAGCAAAAAAATAGAAAGAAGTTCAGCCCATGACTAGGAAATATTTATTTTTCAGGCAGCTGTTAGGATATAGCGAGAGATTGTAGACCGCTCACCTTCAAGAGCATATTTCAAGTCCTGCGAGAACAGACTCCATAATGTTTGCGCACTCAGGTGTCCAATGTTGAGCTCTTGGGGAAACCTGTAACGGAATCGGCACTCAAGTGGGAACATCACACTTGCATCATCTTTGCATTACATCTGCAGACCTCAAGATGAGAATGACCTCATCATCTGCAGTGGTAGGCCATCGTGCACCTTGAGCAGTTGACATACTGACCACAATTAGAAATTGACAATACAATTCTCAAGAAGATTGGAGTAATTAATATACATAACTGAATTACACTCTGTGGTTGTAGAATGACAGCCCTGCTTAGGTTATGCGGTTCATTCAGTGCATACTCCCAAGTTCTTGGTACACATCTCCATCACCAAAGTATCGAGTTGTGTGGCACATTTCTTTTATAACTTTTTCTTATTTTTTTCCCTGTTGCTTCTTATTTCCCAACACTTAATATGGTGCCAACACCACATACATCTAGAGATGTGCAAGATCTGCTGATGAATACAAGATGATGTGCATGCTCTTCCAGTCCCTTTCTGGCCATCCCTTCTGCATTTTTTGCCTCATACAGCATAGCCATGCACAAATTATTATTTTATGCTACTTCCCCAAGTCCTCTATTTATCTAGATTAAATATGACATGCCAGCTCAGCAGGTGCAGGTACACCTCACTATTCGTCATTGATGAAGACTTCTCGCTCTGCTAATGCGAGCATGGTAAAAGGGCAATAGTGACTATGACGTCATCATAACTAGATGTGCCAGCTGGCTATGCTGCATTGCAGACATCACGGAAGTTGAGTGTTACCTTCCGGTCACCTTAGGCAATGACAGTATCGTGAGGTGCAGCATTTAGATGTTGATTGTACATGTGAACTTCTATATTCTTGTCAAATATTTTTCAAACTGTATTCGCCATTGAGATTTGGTGGATTATATATAATATTCATGGAGACCGATCCTACAAACAATCTCAGTAGTGTGAATGCCCTTTTAGGGGTTCACTTCTTTCATGGTATTGGTGATTGAAGGCCTAAGTTTTTTACATGAAATGTTTCAGTAACTTGTCTAAAATAGAATGTTAACAAAGGAAAGATTGCATAACCGAAATGCTTTGTTTTTTGTTATTAAGTAAGTACTTTAGATGCTAAATTATTTAGATGCTTAATGAACAAAAAAAAGACATCCTTTAATGACCTCTGCTTGTCAAGAGCCATTGAGATGGTGGTGAAACATCCATGACAAAGTGAGCAAGTTTGTAACCAGAAAGGGCATGATCGTCTCGTGTGCAGCTGCGGCAATCAAGAACACATAAGGGATCAAATAAATATTGAGCCCAGAAAACAGCAGCATGGCCCAGCGACTCACTGGTTGAGCACGGGGGCATAGCTGTTGCGATCTTCCTCGATGACGGACACCATGAGGGCGATGAGCTTGTGCCAGAAGTCAAGGTTGTGCACACTGGGGCCATGCTCCTCCTCCTTATTGTCAGGCTGCTCCACTTGGAACTCGCGGTTAAACAGCTCGTAGCAGTTTTCAAACAGGAATTGGCACGTTGACCGAAGGCACGCAATCGCACAATCCTTCACCACAGTGCTGGCCCGTGGTGGGCTCGTGAGCTCCTGGACCTGCACGGTCACACCACACAGCGCATTCTAAACATTACAGGCACACCAGATATAGTCTTTCTTTGACAACACTGTCAACTTCGTTTAGAGATAAAGATTGCTGATGGTGCAAGATTGTGGAAGTTGCAATAGTAGGCTTGTGCGAATAGTGAATTTTAGGTTTGTAGTCAATAGTGATTTCGGTCGAATGATTTCGTATCGAGTATGAATAGTATATACATAATATATTAAAAAGAAAAAGGGGCGTATTTGTCATGACCAAACCAACCTGCACAATATTTTTTTAAAAGTTGAAAAAAGGCCGGTACAAATGCTATTTTTTTGCATCAAAAGGAATGGAAACAACTTTGAATTGTAGCAGAATTTTACTTTTGGTAGAATGCAAGTGCTAGCCTGTTAAATATGTTACGTTTCAAAATTTTATATACTTCGAATGTATAAGTTTGTGTAAGGAGATCTTAAACTGAAAAAAAGAAATGAATCGATGTGAGGGTAATATCTTAATTTAACCTTGAAGTGGAGTTTCGTGGCAGAGCGAATTTTTTTTAGAATTCTGTCTTCATTGCTCAGCACGACTTTACTGCAGTGAAACCATCTTTATAAAAAGTTACATGCCAATTATTATAGACTTAAATGTATGCTTTCACAGCTCAGCACTCCTCCACTGCAGTGTAACTACCTTTACAAAATGCACATGCGGGCTAACATGCATTTACCGTATTTTCGCGCGTATAACCCGCACCAAAAAACCCAAAAATTTCAGTGGCAAAGTGGAGGTGCGGATAATACGCGGGGTTTTTTCTATAGTGCTGCTTCACAGCAATGCGTGTTGTGCTGTGAAGCCCCTTAACAGTGTAGCGAAGGCTACGGAGGCGGTTTCTGCAAATTCGTGTTGCTCCGCAAGTAGCACGGCAGCTTGCGGTCGATTTTCGTTTCGCTTGCTTGCATCGTTGAAGCGTTTAGAAAAACATTTGGGGAGAGACAATTCGATTGTTCAGCGTAAAATCTCACTGTCACACCACAAGTATGTTTTTTGGACGTTCGCGGCCGCTCAGTGACCCTCCTCATGTCCCTACGTCACGGACGCCATGTTTACTTTTGGAAAGGTCTTGCCGAAAAGGTGGTGCTGTCTAAGAAAGTTCCATAATAAATAAAGTAAGTTCCATAATAAATAAAGCAGTATTTATTTCAGCAAGGCAAATGAGATATTATAGTGCCTATAGAGATATTATCAGTAAATTAATGTACTACTTTTTGACGCGGTAGCAGGCATGCATTTTGGTTCTGTTGTTTCCAGGATGCTCTTACAGTGTACTAGAAGGGGTAGTGCTGTCAAGTGGTCGCCGAGTGTGAGCGCTCTTTACCTCGCTGATACCGCTAGTGCTCCACATCTCGACCTGTTCGCCAAGCCTAAGTCGATCTGTCCTGTCACCATGAGTAGCGTACGGCGGCAGGCCTTCACGGCACAGCAAAAGCTTAAGATCATCGCCGTCGCCGAGGAATTCGAAAATCGTGAAGCGGGAAGACCGCACGAGAGAGCCTAGAAGCCGCGCACCGCGACCATAGGTCATTTTGTGGCCCCAAGACCGGTGCCTACCCTGAGCTGATGGCGGAGCTAGTAAAGTTCATCGAAGATGTGAGAAGCAGGGGTCACGCCGTATCGACCGAGATGGCCCAAGTGGAAGCGCGGCGACTTTCGAGGGAGCTAGGCCTACCTCGCGAGTACCGTGCGAGACGCGGATGGCTGCACCGCTTTATGAAGCGGCAAGGACTCTCAATCAGACCGCGGACTACAATATGTCAACGCTTGCCGGCTTCTTATGAGGAGAAGCTCCTCAAGTACCAGAGATATGTAATTGGCTTGCGAAAGCAGCACAATTAAATTTTCTCGCAAATCGGCAATGCGGATGAAACTCCTGTTTATTTTGAAATGCCGTTGGACACAACGATTGAGAAGACGGGCAGCAGTTCGGTGAGCGTGCTGACCGGCGGGAACACGAAACTGTGCATCACAGTCTTGCTTTGTGCCCTCGCCGATGGCACGCAACTGCGACCGTACGTAATCTTGAAAAGGAAAACTCTACCAAAGGTTCATTTGCCTGCCAGTGTGGTGGTGCGCGCACACGAGAACGCGTGGATGAACAGTGACTTGTTTGTAGACTGGATCAAGACGGTATGGGAGAAGAGGCCCGGTGCGATGCTCCCAAAGAGGTCCATGCTCGATCTTGACTCGTTTCGCGGCCACACAACTGGGGAAGTGAAGGACCGCCTTTCACGCAACGACACCGACTTAGTTGTTATACCCGGTGGAATGACGTCAATGTTGCAGCCTCTAGATGTGTCATTTAACAAGCCCTTCAAAGCACATGTCAAGCGCTATTACGCCGAGTGGATGGCCGAAGGCTGCTACGACTTGACGTCAACAGGACGAGTCCGAAGGCCTGATATTGCCCTATTCTACAAGTGGATTGTCGAGGCATGGAAGGCCATTCCAGCTGAGATGGTGCGAAAAAGTTTCAAGAAATGCTGCATCACAAACAACATAAATGGAACCGAAGATGACCTTGTGCATAATAGTGAGGACTGCGGCTCAAGTGATAGCTCTAGCGAGAGCAGCGACAGTGAGTGAATGATGACTGGCCTTGCAGACAGCGTATTCTGCTTGCTAAATAAAGCTTTTTCTGTCTACATATGTGCTATGTTGCTTGAGCAGTAGCTTTTGTACAGCCTTTCCTGTATATCAAATAGTGCGGGCAATACACGAGGATTTTTTTTTCTTTCTAGGTGAGCTGAAAGTGGGGATGCGGATTATATGCAGGGGCGGGTTATACGCGCAAAAATACGGTATTTGTTTTGTCTTGAATAAATCAGAATTTTCTGTAATTTAAATTCTATTCGAAGCGAATTTCAATACTGCCTTACCAGTTTCAATATTCAAAGCATTCGAATATTTGCGCAAGCCTATGCAGTAATGAACAGTGATGCATATAAGCGCAGCAGCCTTCTTTCTCATTCGTTATTGATAAATGTATTTGTTTTCTTTATGATAGCTGCTGATGAATGCATGGTAATACACACATCATGGTAAAACCAGGTGATTATGTGTGTTTTTCTTTCTTTCTGTATACACTCAAAGGGTGTAGAACTAAATGTTAGGTGGAATCAGTGACAATTTGTTTCACGCCGTTCGTCGTGCACTTTTTTGTGTCTGCGTTATTTGCACTGCTAATTGCACCTGATGCCGAACTAACAGGCCCCGATAGTTAAAATTCTAAAGCTAGATAGAAGTTAGTGCTTGTGCATTTTGCCTCTCATTTCATATTTCTTGATTTTTTGCCTGAAGATTCCGCACCAAAACTTTCACAGTTATGGATTACATAATAGCCCTGATCGATGCTTTTCTATTCAATGTGTTGAATTTTTGCAAAGCACCACAAAACAGCACATCAAAGCTTTGCTAATAAACGCACTGAATTTTCGCAAAACAGCATATCAACGTACATAGCATGTGCAAGTTTATCCAAGATTTGTCTCCATTTTATCAGAATTTGTGTACACGGCGTTTGCGATATTAACCTATTCACTCAACCATTTCTTTTTGTCATTTTGCATTATAAAAAAGGCTCCTAGAAAAATTCATCCCAACAAAACTACACTGTTTCGAATGATGGAATACGTACCAATTATAGAAGACATCTCTCTATGCAAATGGAATCATTGTTTCTCTAAGCTTCAAAGTACAAAGTAAGTACTCACAACCTATGATAACTAAAATCGCCACTCATAAAATGCTACTCTAAATAATTTCTGCATTTAAAATTTGCTCTATAGTACAAGTAACACTGTGCCCATGATTAATTTCTGCACTCCATTTGATATTTATCAGTGACTGTTTCTTGCAATGTAGAAAAAAATAAAAGAGTACATATGCAATCAAAACTTAAATATTATGATGCAAGTCTTGTACTAGATTTAGGCTATAATTTCACACTGCTTACTTTCATTCTGAAGAAAGTGATGCTAGTGAGTAGGTCTACAGTAGACTTCAAATCTTGCAGTTTTTCTGGTGAAGATGCAGGGAAATTGTTCTGAAAGTAAAAAAGTAATAATTATAATAAATCCAACATGAACTCTTGTTTGCATTATTTCAGAAGCTAAAGTCTGGTATATTTTAATTTTTCACTCTGCCATAGATTTTCCATCTAAGAAACAGTCTGTGTTGTTACAAGAACACAGGTTTCAGAACAAAAATGATGGCACAATGACCATAATGAATAGCTAAATTTTCGAGGCATTAAAATTTCAACAAGGTATCACTCAAGATAAATGTCACTACGGAAGCTATGCAGGGTTCAATATATTTGCCGTATGTGGTAAACAGTCAGTATGAAATATCAATTACACACACACACACACACACACACACACACACACACACACACACACACACACACACACACACCACACACACACACACACACACACACACACACACACACACACACACACACACACACACACACACACACACAACACACACACACACACACACACACACACACACACACACACACACACACACACACACACACACACACACACACACACACACACACACACACACACACACACACACACACACACACACACACACACACACACACACACACACACACACACACACACACACAAAAAAAAGGAACCAGATTGTTGTTTTTATCTTGTTCATGCATTGCAGTTTTATGCCTGCCTACAATTAATGGTTTAAGCAATTTAATAATCTACACTGCCTTCAATGCCAGGACTGATGTCAAAGGTGATAACCCCTTGTACCTTAGGCCCAGATAATTTAAATTAAAAAATTATACAAGTTTTCAGGGCCAAATTGGGTGTGATATTTAAATGCTATTACATCCATTTAATCAGTATCAGGATACCTGGAACCTACTTGTGTTTGGACAAAAGAGAGTATGTTTATACTTACTCTGTACATGGAGAGGTCAATTCTTAGAGAGTTATGCAAGTGGTCTAAAATTTTTACAAACTTTTCTTTCTGCAAGGAAAAGAAATGATGAAGTTTTAGTGATTGCTATCAGTCACAATCAAAACACTTTGCAAATAATAAGCCCTTCAAGGTGCTCTGTACATAATTGTGAATGGAACTATAACACATCGAAAAAAATGTCACTGATGAACATAACCTATGAATCAATACCTGATGCTGGTTTGAACACCATTCATAAGGTCTTTGAATAAAACGAGTTGTGAAGTACACATATACATGTCTGCTCTTGGTATTTGCATGCCATGACATGGCTTCATAGCTCCATCACTTCTTGAAACTGTTTTCTATAATAGTTTACATCCAACATGTATTTCTCATGACTATATGGGCACTTTGTAACAATGCTAGAATTGAAATAGCTGGTGTCCTGTGATATCCCAGCAGAGAACGCTCGTATGGAGTCAACATTCTGTTCACGTAATTGACAAAAATCACTGAAGAATTGAAATGTTTTAATCAGTTTGGCGGCATTATGCCTTGTAGAATTATGAGGATGTAAGAAACATGATGAAACTAAATTTTCAATGGACAAAACTGATACTGGAAGGGGATAAAACACAATGTCCATGTCACTTGCGGTGACACAGGCAAAAATCTATAGCACTTATCAAATTCAGAAACAAATATGAAATCAGTTTAAAAACTGTCAGTGTAAATACAAAGTGATGCAATTATAACCCAATCTTTCTTGATATTTCTGGAATGGTAGACCAGAAGACACAACAATGTGTCATCCAAAGTAGGGTTTGGATAAAAGAGCAATAAATAGGCCAGCGCATGTATTTCTATCCTGAGGCCTTCCCATGTGTCTGAAAACACTTCAAGACCTCTTCTGTACACTGCCCAAAAGGCTTAAAGAGCTTTCATCACCTTCAACAACACACAACACAATGAGAGAAAACTGGCACGATGCAATAAAAGACATCTTTGAAGACTTACGCCAAAATTAGAAGCAGCAAAGCGGTCACTGGCAGAAACCGCAGACGATGCAGCCGTGTGTGCATAGTAAGCATTGATGTTGGCGAGGAGGGTGCTCATCACAGCAGGCACCCCTTGGCACATATATTTGACTGACAGGCAGTGGAAGTGCCTACAATAGAAAGTGCAGGTGGGTTGCATATACAGAATGCTCACCTGTAGCCACAGCAGCAACATTACAAATGGCTAGCTTCTTGCCAACACCAAAAGTGTTGTCTTTAAAAAATATCACTGGACAGCAAGACTATGTTCTGTGTGCTATTGAGACATTAGGACAGCCTAAGAATGTAGTATATACTAAAGTTCATTATCATTATCAACTACTGAATAATTACTGCAAGAAACTGGCTTTGTTTAGTTTAGAGGACACCATCATGTACCTGAAGCAGGATATATGCATGTGCACAAAGCATTTTGGCGTTCATGGTCAACAAGGTAAAAAGTGGTTTTATTTGATTAAAAACAGCAAAAGAGATAAAGCATTGTGCAGTGGCTTGTGCCGATGCTGCATCATGGGCTTCTATGTCATTTTGAAATATAAAAAGCACTTTTCAGTGATGCTTTTTTTTTTGAAAGTCTGCCCTTAGGCATAATATCATCATTGATCATTGATGCTTGTAGTTGTCTATAATAAAACGAATGCCAGTCACGAATTAGTGGCAGTTTACTCAAAAGATGGTCCCAAGAATATTTTAAAACCACTTTAGTGTTGTTGTTCGTGTGCATCTGATGCCATATTTAGACTTATCATATAGCTACTTTCTAGGTATTCCTGAGATTGAAGGCAATGTTTGGTACCTTGTTGCAAAAAGAGTTCGAGGAAGATGTTATATATTATACATGATATGTTCAGAAGCAGCAGAGTGTTTGGTGCACAAGTCAGAAGTGTATAGAAAGCTCACCACGATGGACACGGTGAAGAAGGCTGGGCCCACAACCCGAACATCAGTAAAGACACTTTCCATTGACGACAATAGTTAACAGTTATCATGAGCACGCAATTAGTACATGAATAAAACACAAGAAATATTGAAGCGTATATTTTCTGTTCAAATAAATATGCATGAGTAACTTAAGCCCATATATGCCTTGTGGTTCCCGTCTCGGCACAAACTCAGTATACTATAGTTTCGTAAACGAGACGTGGCCAACTCGGTATTTACCAAATGTTCATGGATAAAGTGATGTGCTACACTTCACGTCACCACCATGTGATAATGCTAGTATGATGCATAAAACTATGGGTACAGGGCATGTATACAGCTGACATATGTTGTCATGACAACATATGCTTCAAAAAATAAATCTTGAAAGGCTTTCTCAATGCCTTGGTATTAGAAAGAGACAAATGTAAAAGACAAAGCAACTAGCAGAGATCAGCTATTGTGGCTTTGAAAAATCTGTAATGTATGCAAATGCCCAAAATCTCACAGATTAGAAAAAACCCTCAGCAAATATGCAGAAAGATGAAGACAAATTATTACTTACGTCATTGCCTGATATATGGATTCTATCCCATATCTCATTGCAAACTCGTCCACAATTTCTTGTGCAGTTTCCTCAAAGTAGATCTTCCACGCATCATCCTGCAGAAAAATTACTGGCATGTGAAAGTTCGAAAAAATTTTTTTGATAGTCCGTATTTTATTGACAAATGAAGGTCACTTTTTCAACTTACAAAGCAGCAAAATGGTGTGAATAAATGTGCAAAAGAGATCAGTATACCTCAATGATACATCTACAGTTGGTTCCACGTGGAACCATAATAAAATTATGGAAATATCTGAAGAAATATCATGAATCTTGGAAGTAAAAAGATAAGCAGGAATGACTGTTCTACTTGACTTTTGTTAAGTAGGGCAGTACAGCACTACATGCATTATTCAAAGTGAGATGATCATCATCTGTATTACTTAAAACATAGAATGTAGCTATGATGAGTGTCCACATGAATGAAAAATGGCTCACTCCATTTCATGCAGGAGCTAGACAGATGCCACGCATAGGATAGTGTTCTTGAACAATGTCAACAACAATTAGAATCTTGGGTTTCTGTCAGCACTTCTACAGCACTGCCTATCCTCAATGTTTTGTGGCATATTTCGACATCTGCCAACACTACGTGCAGCACATATATGAACATTACCTTGTACATTCACGAATAGCATGCAGTACTATGCTACTTTTTGTACTCCTCTGAAAGCCATTGCTCTGTTCCCTGCGTCATGCTATATGCCTATGCACATGACAGCCAATGGTAATTCAAAGCACTTACCCCCTTAGCTTCTGGCAGTTTCACCATTCCTCCATTCTGCTCACACAAGTAATAAAACAGGCTCTGAAAACACATTAATGAATGTTAAACTTGTTGACAATCAGAGATAACATTCTACAACATACACATAATGCAGGTGAACGTCTCACAGCCAGCTTAAGGGGGGGATGGATAGCAAAGACAGGTGTACTAACTACTACTGCCCATCGCTTTGTTATTTTTAAAGCAAACCTCCCAAAATATTGCAAGTTGCTTGAATAGAGATTATACTAGTTTTGTGAATTTGGCAAGAAAATATCAAGCCATTCTAAAGATAATAAACATTTACACATTTTGATATTCGTATCCTTTAAGGATACATTTGAGAATAAGATACTGCGTGTAAAATGGTGAAATCTTTTCTGGTAATTACATGTGCCCAGGGTATCCTTTTGAACCCAAATAATAATTATTGGCATGACCATCCTTTAGTTAAAAACACAGATGCTTTTATATTAGAATTTTGGGGCCTTTTCGTGAAGAAAAACTTATGTAAAAAATACAATTCTTGTGGCATCACCGTTCTTTTGGTTCAGTAAAGACGCATCTTATTCAGAAAGAAGTCACAAAAGTCTGCACTTTATAGCTACAGTACTAACTGAGAGAATGTTCCTTTCTGATGAAAAGTAGTGTTTGGAGAAAATGCCACTTGAAGTTCGAGTTACCGCAGTGCAGTTACGGGATGAAGAGTGTTTGGGTCAATTTTAAATGCTTTCTACTGTGCATAACAATGAGACACTTCGTGAAAGCACTTGCCAGTAATTATGGAATATCGCGCCATGAAAATTGAAAAATTGCATTTTTTGTTGATTTTGCCATCCATCCCCCCATTTAAAGGGGTTCAGCAACACTTTCTCACTAGGGTCAGGAAACACCTTTCAATAAGTAGTTAAGGTTCCTGAGAACATGTGAGCCACACAATATAGTGCAGCATGTGGCCTGGAATTTACAATTAAGTTTTAAAGTGAGCTGGAAATCTCTTGCTCTCCTCTTGAGAAATGGTGTCATACACCCAAACGTCTATGCCATAAACGCAAAGTTCACGGCCATTGGCTGATTTGAGCTTTGTGAGCTGCTTAGTTATCTCAGCTGCCGGGGGACACCACGATATGCTTGTGCGTGCTCAGGGTCGAATTTATGGCAAGGCTAAAGTATGCATAGAAGAAAAAAAGAAGAAATGAAAGCACTCCAGCTCATGCACACCAACAAATTGATGTAGTCCCTTGCTCCCTTGTAAACCATAAAGGGTTAAGAATCTAAGTGAAGGCAATGTCTTTTTCTGGTGTGTCACCCTATCAGCTGTACACACCATGCATAACTGAATCTGCACACACCCACATGGCATATTTGATGAAATAATGCCTTGTCCAATGCTGCGATCTACCACTTTGAAGCTTCTGGACTGTGACATCTGTGCACTTCAACTTATTAGACATAAAGTGCTAATACAACAGCTATGCAGTTCACAGTATTGCATTACTGAAGGCTGGCATGCAGGCATGAAGATAACTAAACATGAACACAATGCTGTTAGAACATACAGATGCTTCTGAAGCCACCCTAAGGTCATCAGCTGAAAACTCATGCTTGACAGAATGTGACAGCGATATATTGCTACGCAATATTTGCAATATTGCTACGCCATAAATTGCTACGCGCTATGTGCGCAAAAATTTTGCGCACATAGCGAGGCCGCTTACGCAGCTCCTCAAGAAAGAAGTCCCGTTTTCATGGGGCTCCAAAGAGGCTTCTGCGTTCTCGACTCTGGTCGCTCTTCTCACTACCCCTCCGATTCTGGCACACTTCAACCCTGCTGCCCCTACGGAAATCCGTACAGATTCAAGTGGGCATGGCATTGGTGCAGTTCTGGCTCAGAAACAACATGGCCATGATTGCGTTATTGCATATGCCAGCCGCCTCCTATCTGCCCCTGAATGTAACTATTCGATAACAGAGCGTGAGTACTTGGCTCTTGTATGGGCGGTGGCGAAATTTCGACCTTATCTATACGGACGCCCATTTTCGGTAGTTACTGACCACCACGCACTCTGCTGGCTCAACTCTCTCAAAGATCCATCAGGCCGCCTTGGTCGCTGGGCTTTGCGCCTGCAAGAGTTTTCCTATTCGGTGGTCTACAAATCTGGCCACCTACACCGTGATGCCGATTGCCTCTCCCGGTACCCTGTCGACGATCCTGAGGACACTGACGAGCCCACGGAGAACTCTATCTTGTCAGTGCCCGACTTCCTTAATATTAGGGAAGAACAGAAGCATGATCCAGAGCTGCTTGACATCATCAGCCGTATGGAATCCTCCACAAATGATGCTTCCGTCCGCTACTTTGTCATTCAAAAGGGTGTGCTATACCGTCGCAATTTCCGACTAGACGGGCCCGACCTTCTCATTGTTGTGCCTAAGCATTTGCGCCGCTGTGTTCTCACCGAACTTCACGACGCTCCCGCGGCTGGACACCTTGGCGTATCCCGCACGTACGAGCGCGTCCGGCGTCGTTTTTTCTGGCCAGGCCTTGCTCGTTCGGTACGCCGATACGTTGCCACGTGTGACCTATGCCAACGTCGTAAAACACCGTCGCTGCTAGCCGCTGGCCATCTTCAACCAATTGACATACCCGCGGAACCATTTTACCGTGTTGGGTTAGACCTGCTTGGTCCTTTTCCCACATCAACATTGGGAAACAAATGAATAGCCGTTATTACAGACTACGCTACACGCTACGCTATTACGCGAGCTCTACCGACCAGCTGTTCAACCGACGTCGCTGACTTCTTGTTATGGGACGTTATATTGATTCACGGTGCTTCGAGACAGCTTCTCACAGACCGTGGCCGTACATTTCTATCCCAAGTCATCGCCGACATTCTGCGTTCTTGTTCCACGCAACACACACTGACAACCGTTTACCACCCTCAAACAAATGGCCTCACGGAACGATTTAACCGCACTTTAACAAATATGCTCGCTATGTACGTGTCGCCCGACCACCGAGACTGGGACGTTGCCTTACCCTACGCAACTTTCGCGTATAATCCATCCCGTCACGACACAGCGGGCTTTTCGCCGTTCTACTTATTGTACGGAAGGGAGCTGACTTTGCCACTGGACACAGTCATCTCAGCTCACACCTCGTCCACCAGCGAGTATGCCCGCGACGCGATTTCGCGAGCCGATCATGCCCGTGAGCTCGCTCGTGCTCGGCTGATAGCGTCGCAAACCAACCAATGCCGTCGGTACGATGCGGAACATAGAGACGTACATTTCGCTCCCGGTACCCTCGTTTTACTCTGGTCCCCTCATCGTCGGCTGGGCCTATCCGAAAAACTTGTCTCATTACACGGGACCCTACTGTATATTGCGTCAAGTAACACCTGTCACCTACGAGATCAGCCCCATCTGTCCATCATCATCTACTATGCAGCCCAGTGATATCGTACACGTCTCGCGGATCAAGCCCTACAATAATGCGTCAGATAACGACCTTTAAAGCACCGGGACCGTGCCTCCGCCGCCGGGGGTCATGCTACGTGCCAGTGCATGGAGCTGAAGAAGACAAAGCAGATAGACTGGCACAAGCTAATCTGTGTGGCTGGCGCTTCTCGCCTAACCGGCTGTAAATACATCGGTGACTACCCCTCTGAGTCAGTCTCCTTCCCGTAACAATATCAACAGAGAACTAAAATCTTATGCAAAAGGGATTTTTTTATAGAGTGGCACTTCTTTTTCTAGTGATTGTCAAATTCCCAGATACATTATTGTACCTAATGTGCAATGTCTAATGAAGTCGATAAAATGGTTGCTTGGGCTAGTTGAAATTTTGGAATCGACACGTGTTGGAAGCACCCGTGTTGCATGCTTTCTTATGTCCTCGTTTTTTGCACTGTGCAAACATGTCAATGTCTTATGACATCACCATAGTTCATATCTGCTAATTACATAGCTAAGAATAAGTTTCCATAACGTTAAAAGACAAAAGAATTATAATGAAGTCAAAGGCATGGTGTCACACTGCAATGTCGACAAGCAAAAAAAAAAAAAAGTCCACAGAATTTTCGTATTGCCAGTCCTTGCTGTAAATGGAAGTCCAAGCCCTTTAGTATATGAAAATGTACTGAAAATCACAAGACACTCTAAATATATACTACTAGTTTCCTTAAACTAGTTTCAGCGCCTAGAAGAGAATGCACTACAATGTAATAACACTCTGCGTCACTCTGTTTCTACAGTCACTGCAGCTGCCACATGCAAGCAGAGTATACAAGACACTCTTGCTTATTTTGTTATTGACAACATATTCAAACATAGTCGTAATGCTATAGGAAACTTTGCACTTTGTCATCGTGATAATGTTGCCCCCTCCCCCATTAGTAATATTCCTATAATATACCAGTGTGCATATAAAATTAATGTCTTGTAATAGGTTTTCTCAACCTGTATGCTTGACAAACGCCACCCTTTTATCAAAAAAGTGTCTAGTACAGTTCCCACAAATTCAAAAATATGTGTAAGTAATTTTAATTGTCATAAAGGTTATCACAAGCAGGTAAACAAAAGCTACATCGATAAGCCCTTTTTTTTGTATGCTGCTTCATAATGTAAATAAATGGTACAACATGCAGTGTCCAGACTATTTTGCTTACTCATGAGATACGCACTTTGTGACTGGCTGAAAGTAGTGACTAAAGCACTTATTGCTAAACAGGCAATCCTACCTCATGTAGACAGGTGTATTGCACATGGTATGGCGCAACCTTTTCTTCACCCTTTATCTCAACGTTGATATGGAGACGGATGGCCCCCGACACTGCAGATTTGTCAGTTCGTTTCTCTGCAAGAAAAATCGTGTACAGAAGTGTTACTAGCAAGTATCAGAAAACTGATTAGCTATTCTTAATTGACAAAATGTTTGTGCCCTCACTCATTGACCAAAAGGAACAATTTCATGGGATATTCTGGCACAGGTTGCATTTAGCATTAAGGTTCCCAATTCATGTTTTAAACTCACCAAGGTTGTACCAGACGTCCATCTCTCCGCTCAAAGTTCTGACTTCAATGATTGTTTGGCCAAGAAAATCGTCCGATTCCCTCGTCAACTTCTGCCGCAACTTTGACTTCAAATCGTTATCTTCATCCCTGCAAAACATTTTTGAGTGCTGCGGTTTGCATGTTGTAGAACTCTGACAAGACACAATAATAAAAGGTAGCTCTGAGGCAAACTTTTCACTTTAATTATAGGGCTGCCACTGACTACAAAGCATGTTTGCTGTAACAGCTGTGCACCACTAGTAAATGAAGCATCGTCTAAACTGCAAAATAAATCACAGTATCTCGTCATTGTAATAAAAAATAAGCTTGATTTATGAGAATGTTGACAATTGAAAATTTGTAAAGTAAGAATGCATGCTAAAGGTATACTATCTTTGAATGAAGTAGAAAAAATTTAGGTAACTCACCAAACTCGCACTTTAATACGGTCCGAAGAGTTATGGCATTCACTGCAAAGGAACGTTTGCAATTCAGACACTCAACGCAATGTATTAAATTTGAACTAAAGCACTGTGTAGTTAATAACTGGCAATAAACAGTAAAACTTACTGACTAACTCAATTTAACGTCTCAAAAGCAACATCGTAGTGAAGAAATAATGCTGCTTAAGGCTCTGAGGTTTACTCTAACCACTTGGGGTCATTTAGTGTGCGATAAACAACACCCAGTAAAAATTTCTCGTTGCCAGTGCTGAGAGTGGGATTTGCAGTGCCCTAAAGAATAGCCACTGAAATTTGGCAGCCGTTGCTCAAAGGAAATCATTACTGGGATATGAGTTTGTGCACTGCCTATGTTAAAGCTAAAAGATAATTTTTTTCAAGAATTGAACAGCAATGCAGTGGAGGCACTTTGTCACGTCTCACAGTAGCCTACAATAATCTATTGATGATGAATTCTTGAATTATGATATTGTGCTGAGGATGTGCCAAGTCAGTGAGCCAGAACTAGACCGTTTAATATTTTGTGTCCCTCATTTTCTTCGGTACCTTGATTACTAATGCACTGTTGTAGAAAATATTGAAATTTTATACTGCCTCAAGTACCAATCTGTCAGTGTAACCTAATTGTTATTCGTCCTCCAATAAGAGCTCATCACAATATATAAAAAGTACTGTCAAAGTAAAAACAACTACGTTGATGTCATAAATAACAATAAAAAAAGGTATTTGCCAGAAATTTAACTGTTGCAAAAATAGCGATACAAAGAAGGAAGAAAAACGATAATGAAAAGGTTTCTCAGCCAACGGCATTAACAGAATGCCTTATGTTAAAACTCAATTGTATATCAGATGTCCCTCTATAACAAATAAAAAAAAAGAAAAAAAAAATTGCCAGGCCTGCCTGGAACGCGCAGCACAGTCATAGTGAAAGCTGCAAAAGCAGCCCTTCTGGAGCCTTTTTAAAATTCTCTTTGGATAACTGCTACAAGCAAACTAGCGCGGTGCCCACTACGTGATGAATAATCACAATTTTTGTATAGTGGGGAGGCATGCACTGTAGCATTCTTCAGAGAAGTGTGGTACCCACTACACACTTCCAAGGAACTTTGTGCAATTTTTGACGCTGTGACTGATGACCATGAAGAATTACGTCTAAAGCTTTTGTAATGGGTTGTTGCATTTGACGACCCACTCATAACGCAATTCACATTTTGTGACGCCTGGTTGTTCATTTGCTGTTCTGAAGTGCTTCATTATCGTATTAACGCGATTCCTATGCCAACATGAAGCCAGGGTCGGCTTGCAACGAAGTTACAAGTACTGGCATGGCTCAATGTTAGATTACTGGACTGGAATGCAGGGAACTCAGGTTCGAATCCCATTATGTCCATGCTGTTTTTTTTTTTTCATTTACCAAGTTCTTTTTTTTTTTTGTTTCACGTGCTAGTAGTTATGGACACCCGTGGCGTCGTCAGACAACTAAGGCGCAAAAAAATGGCCCTTGTTGTGATATCGTAACAGTTCTTTCTGTAAAAAATAAAATGGAAAGACATACTCACAAGCAAAACTTTTCATTCCAGACTGGATTCAGGTCTCTTGGCATAGTTCGTGTCCTTTTCTTGGTTTTGCCAACTTGAACTGTTACATAGGGATCGCTTGTGCCACTTTTGTCTTTCGCTATGAGACCTTGCGCGCATATGACTGCACACAAAGCCAGACCAGGTGGTGTTGATTATCAATTCAAATACAGTTTTGCACATGGACAACACAGTGTGTACAAAGTAATGATGTGCACAAACCATGACTGTCCCTACATGTATTGAACAAGCATTCTGGACTTCCAGCCACTTGTTAAAACTTGTTAAAAAGTAAGCTTATATATTACTGAACATCAGGTAGTAAACAATGAAGTAATGGAGCCAAGAAAGACGAAATTAAGGATGATGTATGCATGAAGTTACACACTTAAGGCTAGCGTAATTAACTATAAGAACAAATATTTGTCACTTATTGTTTATGTTTCAGTTTCTAATATTTGAAAAATATAGCAACTATGAACAATTAATGAGATGATAAAAGAATGACCTTAATTTTTTAAAGACAGCAATAACGTGCTCGAATTCGACCCTGATGGCACAGTGGACTTCCATTACTCCAACACAGGTTAACATACTTCAATATTTAATTTGGTAATGTTCTAGACCATGAACATTTGGAACATCTTTAAGGCTTTCGAATGTCAAATACCAGACGATTAAAATAACTGTGATTTACTGGTAGTGAATGTACAAATGCTATCAGGGACAACAGTGTGCCTGCACTAGAATAGGGGTTCGTAAAAAAATGAGAGTGTGGTACTTTGTCTATAATAAACACCGCATGTGAGAGACAATAATTGCTCTCTTGTGTTTGTCTCTTCTAAAAGGGTTTAACTGCATTGAAAGCACACTTTCAGAGCATAGCCAGACAGTGATACTATGAATAGCCCAGTTTAGCTGTCCCCTGCAATGCCCAAGGCAGTTTAAGGTGACATTTGATGAAAATAATTCAATGTAAACTCCCATTAAAGTTTTCATGTCCTGGAAAGATGCGTACACTACAAGGGCCACATGTATCACATCACTTCAGGCAATGAAAACCAATTTTCCAAGTCCTATCACAGTCGAAATATTGGAAGTCAACAATGGAAGATACCTACAGTATATGGCTGATTTACTAACCAAGTGATATGGCAGCATACCTTTTTGACCTGGATTTCTTATTACCACATTAAATACATAGTACAGAATGTACAACTAAACCAGTTGAGTTATTATAGTCAAGTTAGGTAATCTTTCTCATAGTCCAATTTAAGTGACTCTCAGAATGTGCCAAACGCATAGAAACTTTTCACAAGCTTTAAGTGATAATATACCATCTATATATTTCTCTTTTCTTAATGCAACAAAATTATTTACTAAATAATTTCCAGCATCAATGACAGCTATGCCTCAAAGGTATCTAGGTTTTATGCCATAACAGTGCAGCTTATTAGAATTAAGTTATAAGCTTACCTATCAAATGCTCTTTCATGAACTGCCATTTGCTTCCTAGGATGATACAACTCTGAACACAATCTAATGTGCAAATGCACCATAAAAGTGCAGTGTATTCAATGAGAACTAATGTTTTGTCAGAAATTCCTCCTTTCAGGAGAGTAAAACCTCACTACAACAACCAAAAAAATTCCTTGGTGCCTTTTTTTTGTGTGTGTGTGTGTAGTCGTGCATGCTTCTAATGAGATTCCTTTGCTGATATATTTCACAAAGTTTTTCCTTCTAAGGCAACCTAATCAAACTCCAGCAAATACATGTAATAATTCAATACCACATGTTTAACACTAAAAATAAAGGCAGAAGTTCAGGCGAAGATAGAAGCGTTAAGAGATAGAAGCGTTTGAACACACGGTAAAACTGGAGCCTATGTTTCGACAAGTCAGCTCCAGCGAAACCCCCCCATGTTCACGAGTTTTCCACATGTGTAATATTAGAACTTAAAGGAACACTAAAGTGAAACAATGAAGCAGTTTAGATTGATAAATTGTACTTTAAAAAACCTAACATTGCTAATTTCCCCATCACAGGCACACTAATATAGGGAGAAAAACAAGGTTGAAGTATAACTTTAAATTCTGCGCTGAAAGCGTAAATTTCAAAGTGCATTTTTTTATTTTGCTGATATTAGTTTAATTAAAGTCATTGAAACATCGTATATAAGTCTTTGAACCCCTCAGAGGACCAAGTCTTTGATTTTACTGATCAGGAACTATGTAGGCTCTAGTAGACGCTGTCAAAATCTATGGCTTCATGACAATTGGTGCGGCAATTTCAAGGTGGTGTTACCACTCGCAATTTGTTTTTGAGTGTTTGTTTAGCTTACAAAGCATCTTATCGTGGCGATTTTGTTTTTGTTAAAAGAGTAATTCTCTGATATGAGAAAAACTGTTGTTCTCTTTAGTGCTCCTTTAAGGAATTAAAAAAAAAGTTCCTACACTAACATGAGGAGAGGTGCACGACACCACTAAAATATATACTTTTACTCTTTGTGAGTCATAATGAAGGGGATGCAATAAAGCACCACTAAGTCAGAGTTGGCTAGGTCAAAGAATTGCTCACCACTAATAGTAATGCCTGGGGCATGATGACAGTTTTTTTCCTGTCATTGTAGGGTACTTCGTGTGACAATTTATATTGCATTTTGTTTGCCATATTGTAGCCACATGTTGACACATGTTGCCTCGCATGTTACGGTTTGGTATTTTAGCGCACATAATTTTATGGGAATTTCGAACGTTGTTTCGACTTCCTTTTTAAAATAATTTATTCTACAAAGGGAAGCTTGTTGAGTGAGGTTTTACGGTATCCATACTGTGCAGTATTTTCATTGCAGGTCTGTACTCGGTAGAACCTATAGATAATAAATAGCTTTTCAACTGCAACATAGAGCCAAATTTTTTTGTGCTATTTTACAATGCAGTACCAATTAGCCCTGCTTTTGAATACCAGACTGACCAAGCCTCAGCTGATTTGCGGAAGTTGCTGGGCTCATATGGCCTGTGAATACTTACTGTACAAGAAACAATGTTGCAAGTGCTATTAGTTTTAGTATAATTAAATAAAGGCGAGAAACACCTTGAGATCAACAGTACCTCTGCAAGTAAGTATGTTGTCAACAACACGTGACTTTGCACACACATGGCACAACAGGTTAGTCAATGTAAGGCTGGCTGAATGAAGTTTTTCCTACGTATAAGTGCAGCTGATCACTGCAGGAAGCTGAACATGCACAAAGCCACACTCATTGAGTTCATAAAGAGGCAATACCTAAACAAACTTAAACAAGTGGTGATCCAAAAGTTCTTGGAAATATGCAACCCTCTCCTAACAGAGTAGAGTATGCTACTCTGTTAGAAAACCTTACTGTGTGTATAATGAACTAATTTTAAAGTTTTACATGACAAGAATGATGAGCATTGTACACACTGTACGCTCACATTACGGCACCTCAATGGTGTTTCACAATGGTGATGCTCTGCATCTGGATTATGACGATCTTTCTATGGATTATGCCTGTCCACCTCTATGCATATTTTTGTGGGTGTGAGGATCGTAACTTCCTGTGTATTATTTTTATTTTTTAAAAATCTGACATCCCATGAAAGAGTGGCAACATACAAGAAAGAAAGAACACCGTGAAAAGGACAATATTATACAGTACAATAAAAACTTCCAAATGACCTCATCTAAAGTGGTGCAGCACTCTGCTCTGTTTTATAAAAGAGCAGTGCGATTTCAAGAAGCTTTGGATCACTCCTTGTAAGACATCCTTCAGCATGGACTGCGAATCCAAGTTGCTTGAAGACATACGGGTAGCTGTGAGGAACATGGGAAAGCCTATAATGTGAGAGGAGCCTTAGTGACATGCAGCGAGCACAGGAAATGTTGACATGCTGTAATTTGCGCACATACAAGGGTACTTGCAACATGCACAGCAAGCCAATGCGCAAACATTTGAAAGGAGGCATACCAGGTATCGGGCAGCGTGGGAACAAGGATAGCAAATGAGTTCAGTCAGTGCATAACTTGAAGAATGGAAAGAAATCGGCTAAGAGAATCTCCAAGTAAGGCAAAGAACATACAAAGAGGCATGGTGAAAGCTCCCTCCCAGTTACGTACCATAGCCTCTTACACTGTTTTTTCCGGATCACCACAAAACAGAGATCACATTCTACTTGAGTAGAGTGAGGGTAACGACACATATTAGGGTTTTGTGAGAGAAAACTTTACCAGCATCAGCTGCTAGTACTACACAGTGGTGTTGGGCAAGTTTCATGATTGCACGAGGCAAAAGTAACCTTCACGTAGACTGCTTACTTCAATGTGTGGTAGCAGCAGATTATTCTTTTTAAAAGCAACTATCCGAAGCAAAGCACTCATATCTCAAATGTCAATACCTTTTTCTCTATAGATGTCAATGTTCTGTGTATGTAGCAAAGCTAGAAAATATGAGGAATGTGTTGCAGACACCTTTCAAAACTAGTGTCACAGCCACAGCTCCAATAATGGCCCTTTCTCATTGCTTTGCTGGTGACCTGGCAGCACAGAATATGCAGGAGGCTATGGCAACACTCAAAGCTGAATTTTTTTTTCATTCTTCAAGTACCATGACATTTCCAGTCAGGCAAGTCAAGAAACACAGCTAATGTTGTTCTCACATGTAAAAAAAAAATTCTGTAGGGACTGTAAGTATAGGTTGCTAACTTATAGAACAAGCATAGCCCAACTTTATAAATTGTCAGAGATGGTTGTTTCTTAAAGTGTATCTTGACAACCAAGAAATGTGCAATCGACACGTTTTGCTGCGATGTCCCGCAGTTTCCACACATAGCTAGTCTAAATTCTGCTGAGGAACCTTTTGGAAATATATAGCTATACACTGACCTAGGCCTTCTGCGTTTAGTGAGTGTGCGGTACCTGGTAATGCAACAAAAAAATGACAACAGTTCAAATACTCTCCATCTAAACACATACATCACCCAGTGTACAGCTCATCTCCAACTTTTTCTAAAATCAACATATCTGTATTCTGTAATAGGAAGAGTAGTCAAGAGATGCGCATTGCTTATCCAATTCCATGACTTGTGAGTGGAGCCACATAGATTAAACTACATTTCATTATTTAAACCTAAACCTTTATTTACTGGTTTAATCAGTGTACAATGATTACTTAAAACAATGCCTCAACTTTTCGTTCGCGAGAACTCCTGCTTATTACACACCCACCGCCGAATAAATTAGAGGTATAACATAGAAGCACGGCTGATAAACTTCCAAGCCAGCTCTCCCTTCCAGATTATCTATTCGAGGATACGTCATGCTGTGCTCGTAAGGGTATGCCACCCAAGAAAGGATCGAAAACAGAAGCCCAGATAAAAAGTGGACAGTGCACCCACGTGTGGTGTGGAGGGGGCAGAACCCATGCCTCTACAGGTCTCCTCCTACTAGTGATACTAGATGGAGTAGCTCTATATTCGCGGACAACGTTTTTTGGCAATGAAGGGAAAGCTACGGGAGCGGAGATACTAGACATGTACTCCTCCTCCCAAGTAGACCAGTCGTTGTACTCCTCCTCCAAGTAGTCGTTGAAATGACTGGATGGCGACGAGCGCTCACCGAAAGGCGAAGATGCCATTTTGACAGTGAGGTGTAAGTAAAACGAGCGACGTTTTCGCAAGTGCAAAAACGCAATATGACACTGCATGAAATAAAAGAATTATGAATATGTCATTGGTGTGAGCTGCGTCTCCTTAAAAACATCCCTTAGAATATAAAGTGATGTTGTTTTTATAATTTTCGCGTGGATAGTACGGTCGCAATTGCAGGACTATTTTTTTCAGCAGTGACACATGCCCACTTTGGCTCCGTAGCGTCCTCTTCATTGCCAAGAAAAGTTGTCCGCGAGTATAGCCATGAGATGCAAGAGCCAAAGGAAGTATGTGGAAGGATTAACTTCCGAGATACGGATGACAAGCAGGCTGTGATGCGAACAGAAAAACACAGCCTTCAGCTATAACTAAGCTTTCACCTGAGTCTCGGCATTCTGTGCCTGAAAGCGCTTTCATAATTTGTGTATACAGCAAATCTGGTTTCATACTTGATTGAATGCGATGTATCTTATTTATGATAGGAGAGCTTCATTTACACTATGGTGTCAGATTACGACTGTTTCAAGAGTAATTCAGGAATCAAATAGTAATGGTACTAATCATAGTAACAGAAATAATTATAATAATAACTGTTATTATAACCCTTTTATAGGAGACTTCTTATGTATTGCAAAACAAAAATGACTGCCATAAAACAAAAGTCGAAATATTGTATCTAAATATCAAACTCATGTTTAGTAGGTCAACTACCTTTTTCAAAAATAAATAAAAAAAATAAAAAAAAATCTAGGGGCCAATTATAACAAGAAATCACAGCTGTAGACTGCTTGCTTCAATGTGTTCAGACACAAAATGCCAGTACTCCCAAGCGAAATGCACCAGTCAGCCAGAACCAGCCATGACCAGCCTAAGCACATTCCTTGCATTTGTAATAGTCAAGGAAGAATGCGTAAAAATTGAAATAAGGGATAGAGCTATAAAACAAATTAACGTTATGAAGCATTAAGAAAGTGACATTTAAAAAATAAGCAGAAAACCAAATGAGATGGGTTCTGAGGTAAGAAGAAAAGAGAGTCTGGCCACATGAGGGCGGCTGGCATGACGCTGGTACCTGTGATGGCAATTTTGCACGACCACTTCGACGTGCCCTCGAAGATGGATTCTTCAGCTTGCTGGAGGGCGTCAATGTGACTGTCAGCATCAATCGAGAAAGTCAGCCTGCAATAGTAGCAGAAGGTGGCTCTCGATCTTTGCTGCAATTAGAGGCTGCCATAATCTGATGAAATCTGTCTGGTTTTTTTGAGATCGTTGTCATCCTGCTAATTTTGCTGCCAAAAGGTAATGCATAGAACACACTTTCAGGCAGCATTAAGCAGTATTCTCGTGAATATTTTTTGAAAGCTATATACCCATTCAAGGTTTGATTATTAATATTAGGCACCATGTGGATAAATGCCAAAATACATTTTATACTTAAAAAAAAAAGAAATAAGAGAGTTGGTTGCAAATCATGATAATGTCCAGCTTTGACTTATAATGCTACATGCAATCTTACCATGGCTTCATCAAATGCAGGATATTTTCTTTTCATGATGGGCGCGAGTAACAAAATCATAAACACAGTTCTGTAGTGATACAAACCATTGAACTTGAAACATGCTTCAAAAGTGTGTCTTTCGTTTCGCATTGCAATGCAACAACACAGTTGTCATAGTTGCACAAGTGTCACACGATTGCACGAAAAACTGTTGCGTGGCACACACAAAACTCGGAGAATGTGCACAAGAGGTTTTTGCATGAGACACGAGGCAGATCACTAGACAACAACTTGCGCAAACGAAAGTGAAGGAACCATTCAGAGGTAAGTTTCAGACACCCAACAAAAAAACAAAGCACAGCCATGAGTGGGTTACGATAGCACAAGGCAGGTGTGGAGGGGAAAGGGTTGCCTGTCAACACCGACGCAAAAGCAGTAACTTCACACCACCACAAACACCACACCACATTGCTCTTGGCAAGCAGGGAAAAGAGGCGACGGGGAAATGTCCTTCACAGCAATGATGTGCATCGGCTGAGAACAGGATTTTGCCTTGGGATCACACAATTCCATGGATAGCCTCTTGCGTCCAACGTCGGTTTCTCTTTTCAGTGAACATGTGTGCGCAGTTCTGCCCGTTGTAATCCTACAGGTGGCTACACAGTCTGCACGAAACACTTCAATGCACAGAACCAGAGGATGCTGCGAAGTACAGCTAATTACTGCTAGTGGAAGCACACATCAGAAAAACTGGTCTTGGTGGAGGTTTATTCTCCTACACAGTTCAAGAACTCACAAGAGATTTAATTTTATTCCCTATTGTCTTCAGTAAATATTTCATGAAATAAGAGTTCCACAAACCACCTCTTTTGCTGCATTACACCCAACGTCCTCTGGCTAACAAGACATATACGCCAATAAAAACACCAACACGCTTTACTACCACCGAAGCTTTTGCACGGAGTCTTGCACCTGTACACGTTCAGCTGGTGACATTATCAGTGCTATTATGATCGGACTTTGACACGTTGGACCTACCGGTGATGGCAATTTTAGCCGACCACTTGGAGGTTCCGTCAAGCACGCTCTGCTTGACTGCCCTCTGATGACCCGTGTGGCTCTTAACATCCACGCCAAATACGGCCCTACAACGTTAGCAAAGTTCACACACATGCTCACACGTCACTTGCCCACTTTAGAACGGCAAACGGCACATGCAAACACATAAAGAACAGTCAATGTTACATGTTGTAAAGATGTCAGTTTCGTGAACAAGCTCCATGTGAACCAATTTCTAGCTTGAAGCTAGCTGGTAAGAAAGCATGAAGTTATGTTTGTCCCCTGTGCTAGCACATAGAGGCTGCACATCTAAATTCCAGGCTGCATGTCCAGGTTAAAGAAATGTTAAGCCTTGTCCAAAATTTCATGCAACGTAAGGTTTTGATGTAAACTGCACCAACTTTCCATCTACAATGGCAGACATTCAAGAAAGTGATCACCCCCGTAGTTTGCACTTGCACATTGAAAGAGCTTACAAATGCAGCTTAAACAACCTTAACGGTGTCGTTTTTATGAATTTACAAGCTGGTCAACTTGTCAGCAACATTAATTTACACAGTTGATATTGTCATAGTAAAAAGATATGTTATAAGTAGTGCTGCAGTCCCTGTTGTACCTGGCAGTTCAAAACGCTTTATTACGTGTAATGTCTAAACAGTGTAACAAAAGTGAGTGTGCACATTTCTAGCATCTCACCGTAAAACAGTCACAATCTTAGATACTTCGTTTGGTAAAAAGAACACTATAATATACATAAAGATCCTGAGATAGTGACAACTTTGTCACAAACAATGTAACTCTACTGAAATCAAGAAAGAGGTAAACACTCAACAGGCATTGCATGATATCTTTGCAAAAGATTTACGACGATCACATTATTTCTGGATATGGCCACCAGTTAGGCTATGAATATTATGAATATTTAGTGACATGCTGCGTGCAGTTGCAGCTTTACTTTTCTATAAAATTAAGTGACTGACTTTATAAATCTGTATTTACCTAGCATAATATGCACAACAGCAATAAACTTAAATTTTAAAACATGTTAACATAGTCATTTGCAAAAATGCAATGAAAAAGTGGTAAAACATCATCATTGCCATAATTGTAATGTGAATGTTTGTACGAAAGAAGAAAAGGACAGCTGCACAACATATGTAAAAAAGCAATATGGTGCTACTTTCCAATTGTTTGATACAGTAACTACATTATTGTGTGCGTTAGCAATCGGGCACAAAGCCAAAGAAAATCGAATTTTTTTGCAGAACCTCTCTCAATTACAGCCAAATATTACATTGCTCAATACATGAAATAAAAAAATGCTAAAAATAAAAACCACCAGAACAACAGACTCCAAAGATGAATTATCCTACATAGTACCTACTCCACTTAATGAATATGTTAAAGCTGGCATAGATTTCCTGCAATGTATACAGACACAGATGCACGAAGTACATGTTAAAGGGGTTGTGAAATGTTGCCCAAAAATTTTCAACTACAGGTGTATTTACAATCAAGGCCATTCATTCTATACTATATGCCTTGACTTGTTTTGTACTGTTCCGGCCTACAATTTTAGTCAAAGAGCAAGTGACTTAATTGAAAAGCCTCTGAATAACCATACTATATGATAAAAAAAATCTCAAGATTATAATGTAGCAAAACATAAGTGAACAAGCTGTTTTGAAAAATGAATAGTGCAGATTGGTATACAGAGCAGTAGGTATGGTCGAATTATTTGATCAAGAAGTTGAATGTGTATAATTACATTAAAAATGCAAAATTTTACCTACCTTAAATATATTCAAATATGCCTGCTGCTATAAGACCTATTATGAAAGTGAATCACCAAAAATCAACAGTACAAGTAGCTCTGACATCTGCTCATGCAATCATTTAATGCTGTAAACAACAGCACAGCCACATATCCTGTTGTAATAAAAGGCACAGCTTGTTTTGGTATCAGCGATACAAAAAAAAGATTTCACAGAAAATCTCGGTGGGTCAAAGCCATGAGAACGTTAATGCTCACCGTTCATATGGTATGGGTAACATCAACTACGGCGACTTTATAGAAAAAGTCACAAAAAGCTCAAGATAAGCCGCATATAAAATAAAACACATCACTGTGGTAATTTGCAGATCAAATATTTCAGTAAATAATCTCATGAAACCTACGCTTAGCATGAAATGAGGTTAGCATTTTCTTCACATGCATGCCTCTCTGGCAGTGTGAGCTGTGTTTGGACAAAGCAGCACTAAAAAGGATAAGTACTAATAAGGGCAGTACACACATGTGTGCTGGCTCACAACCATGATGTTACCGGTGACTGCAACTGTGTAAACAGAACAACATTGTGTGTGTACTTCCCTTCCTTAGTCCTTGTTTATTTTATCGCTGTTTCGACAAAAATAAACATTGAGCACCTAAGCGCTTTTCTTGCAATATCACGGACTGTTCATATCATTGTTCTTTGACTCTTTTTATGTATATATGGCATGTGGATTGAGCAGAGCATCAATGGTACAGTTGGATTAGTTTGAACATTATAAAATGCAGTTTACAACTTATGCACAGCACTCTTTCTCTATTAGTCAGCGATCCAACTTAAGTTGGATTACTCAGCATTCAGCAAACTATGCTCGAGATTGTTGGTGTTGTCTTGCCAAAGAAACGCGGGCACTAGCATATGAATTGGTTAACTCATAAACAAGGAGGTGCCATATTAATGAATGTAATCTGTATTATAAATATACAAAAGAACAATAAACTAATGTAATGATCAGATAAGTATAAATATGACTCCTTAAAAATAATGTCTATACCAGTCTAAAGTTTTAAAAGCTAATATATAAATGCCCTATTATCTTAAAATAAGGCCAGGCACGTAGGCAAAGAAAGACCCAGCTCCCCCCCCCCCCCATAAAATTTTCCAGTCGGCCAATATTGCTAGAGTATAGAGGCACAGGCACAATTGGCCACGTGCACTTTTCAACTAATTAAAAGGAAATGCTACTTAAGGAACTAACTAAGAACAGCTAATAAAGAACCTTCATTCTGAAAGCACGGCAATGCTCGCCGGGGAATCCAGCGACCGGCCCGTGTATCAACACCATAAAAGAAACATCAATTACTCGCATATCTGAGGCGTTAGCGAAACCATTGGCTGTACAACAAAAAAAGACATCCAAAAGCCTATGACCACATAATCTCTACATAATGCCAAAGACCGCCCACCGAGAGACACAGCCAAAGGCACTCCATACGCTGAGAGCTTGGAAAAGGGAGCTTCAAACAATGCGATGGTTTCAACGACCTATTACCCGTCCGACCCCACTCGTGCCTATGCAAACATTTTGACCCTTTGTCCGCTGCCTCTGTCTTTGGGCAAGTGCCTGTGTAACGAAAAGAGTAAACAGTGTAAACAATTTGTACAGTTAGGACACCCAACTGTAGAATGAGTGTGTATGTGGCTCTCTAGTTATTAGTCCATTGCGTGCCGACAGAAGTGCTTTAGTTGGTGGACTTGCTCATTACTTTCGGAAAAGTAAGCAGATGACCACTGTTGTTATTCATGTCGTATGTGTGGTACCACATCGTTTGTGTTTCCATTTACATTAGGAAATAGAAACTTTCCTCATATGTGTGGTGGCTGAAACTTCTAAGGTTGTCAAATAATTGCTTTGGGGTGGGGTGCTGAACACACACAAGACTCGCCTGCGATATGGCTTTGCTCATTTACGGCAAGGTTTATGAAAAAGAGCGACGGACGCAATGAATCGCTTTCGTGCGTTGGGACAGACGAGCCGCTTCGACATTGCATGAGTTGATGTGTCGCTTCTTGTTCTCAAGCTTTCGTTCTGCCATATTGGCGCTCCTTGGATGCACTCCATCATGTTGACACTGGTAAATGAGGAAAGTTATCGTAGCCTAAGCATGTGTTGGTTCGGTTCCACCACCGTACAAGGGCACTTCGCTCGAACGTTCTGTATTTATTATTTACAGAAACAGCAATGCGGCAATCCTTGACTTCAAAAAGAACAGCAAGTAATTAACATGGCGCATTTGTAATCAAAACAAATTGGATGTTCATCACATCTGGGCTTTGTCACACTGGTCTGCATGAATCTCCTATCATAATCAACGGCTTGACGATTCACTTCCCCTAAACAGCAGTGCTGACAGTTTGTTCTCCTTCGAAGTAGGAGGTGATCACATGTCTCCTCCTCAGCGGCCCCCTTCAAAACTTGTCGCAGCTACCACGGCATCATATATTGATATTTTGCAACAGTCGCACTGATACTTTGTATTGATCCTTTTCAACAGTCGTATTGATACTCTTCAACAGTCGTGCCAATCTGATGGCTCGATGACCCGGTGGCGAGGATGAAAACAACAGTGTCCATCGCTCATTGCCTCCATCTGTGAATCTGTTCCCCCAACTTTCTTAAATGCCTCGCTGTTAGCGAGACATTCCTAGGCCTCCCGCACCACTTGTCTGTATATTTGCAGAGCCCATATATTGACATGAGCGTTTCCTTAAAGGAGGTTCCCTCGATGCACACTCAGGTGGAAGGGATAGGAACTAATGCGGAGGCAAAATTCCACGAAATGTTTTCTCTATGATGAGACAGAACGGTGGAGTTTGGAGTGAAGTGCAAGATTCTGCAGGTGGTAGGAACGCAGAGATACCGGGAAAGCTATGATTGTAGTTCTGTGGATGAGTACTACAAGTGAGCCTTGTTTATTTTGTACATTGATGACCTGAAAGCTTCCCTCAAAAGGCTCTTTACAAACCATCGCAAAACACTGCAAAGTTTGCAATTTGTGTTCTCAAAGCATGCCTCCAAAGGTAAATTTAAATATGTGCAGCCAGCCTTCGATTTTTTACCTTAGAGATATGACATCAGCTCATATCCTTACAGTAAAATGTGAATGATAAATCTAGAAAACTAAATGGGAAGCCATGCAAGAGGACGAATTTTCCTGCTTTGCGACGGACACTTTAGCTGAATGCGACAAAGCCCTTTTCCGAACACTAACACATTCCTCAAGATATTGCGAATGCTCCCAGTCAGCACAGCTGCTCAACAGTACAGCTTCTCAACAAAGTGAAAACATATTTGAAGAACAGAACGACAGAGATGCGACTTGATATTCTGGCCCGTATGTCCATTCACCTGATGCAAGTTAGTGTAGACTGTTATCGCTGTGTTTATGAAAAAACCGCGACACATGAAGATTGTAGTGTGAACTGCTGTCTTGACCCAGGCTACATGTTCGTTTTTTTTTCTTTCGCATTGACCTTTACTATATCCCAAAACCATTGGCAATGTCATTCTTCAAGATTGCTTGCGAAAATGAATGTTGACAGTCTGCTTATTTTGTGTCAGGGAAGCATTGGTCTTTTAGTTATTTGTTGTTCAATAAAGTTGTTTTCCTGAGTGTGCATGTTCTTTGTTTGAAAATTTCTGCCATAAGATGGTTCCCGTTCTTCTCGCAGGCCTGCTGTTAAGACAGAGTGTGAGAAGTTCGGCAGAGAAAGCGTCTGATATTTTTTTCGCCACACATGGGTGAGTGAACGAACAGTTCCCTTGCATTCCCCCACCCCTCTATTTTTCCTTTTGTCACTCATTTTCCAGTTACTGACTCTGTATGGGCCTTCTTGGTCGAGATTATTTGGTAGGAAAGCATTCTTTCTGGCTTACATGCACTAGCTTTAGAGCAGTGTCAAAAATTCTTTTCTACCACTGAGCAGCATTCCACTTTGTTCCCATTTTGTTCTAATACCCCCCCCCCCCCCTCCTAAAGAAAATCCTGGCTACGTGCCTAATGCCATATATTCCTGTATAGCATATATCTGACTAATATTGTAAACATGAAGCTAATAAAGAGTCGCATTGTCCAAGAGAATTAGTACGAAACATGCTACCTATGATATTTCCCATAAGCTACATTTCACTCAGAGATAGCAGATGCGCATGCAAAAAATAAAAAGTTGGTACAGTACTGACAGTCACTTTCTCTAAGCCTGTTAGTCAGCAGGTTAGTCAGCAGACAAACAGATTCTTGTTCCGTGAAGGGGCACCATGTTCAAGACACAATCATTTCTCTGGATGGATTAACGAGGATCCTGACAACCTACCTGATCAATTCGAAGATTTCTGGCTTATCGCGCTCCCTAATCTTCATTCTCTCCTTCATTGCCATAATAATGTTGTTAGCTTTGTCTTCGGCACCATGCTTGCTGCTTTTTTCCGCTGCCCCTGTTGAATAAATTATAGAAGCAAGATTAAAACATTGACCAATCAATCAATCAATCAATCAATTATGCACTTCGCAATTGTGCTTTTTAGACGAAGGTTGAGGTGCTGTGAAAAGCCTCCAGTTAAGTAGCATGATGAGCCATTTACGGCAAATTCAGTACATAGATATTGTAGTGACCTGTAGCTTTTGGCAATTTTTTTAGATGAATAGAAACCGAGATGCACACTTTGATTTCAATCTTTACTACCTTACTTCTTTGAATAAAAGATATATAGCTCGAACAACCTTAGTGGCTGCTTAGAACCACTTTTCAATACCATGTATTTAAATAAGTAGGAATAATCAAAGTGTTAAGACGTTTATTGGCGGACACTCGTTGATGATTCACGACAGCGACAGTCAATGCGGGGAACGACTCTCTGCACGAGCTGCTCTTCTTCTTATAAAAGGGCGACCCACTAGAAGGCACTCGAGAGGACGACCCACTGTTCGAAGGCTTTGCCACAACTACCCCGGGTACGAAAAGGGAGCCGCCTGGCGCCCTAACAGGTGGTTACAATGAGCGGGTCATGGTAGGCCTTGAGGCGCTCCACGTTAACAATGTCGCGACCTCGACGGCGCATGTCCGAAGATGGTTCGATTGGTTCAATCAAGTAGTTGACAGGAGAAGTGCGTTTGACGACATGGTAGGGGCCTTCGTACTTGGGCAATAGTTTTGAAGATAGGCCAGTTGCAGTGGTAGGGATCGAGAGCCAAACGAGCGCTCCAGGGAGGAACGTGGGCGCAGTAGTGCTGGCGTCAGCGCGAATGCTTTTTTGCCGGTCTTGATCGTGCGCAATAAAGGTCTTTGCAAGCTCTCGACACTCTTCAGCAAGCTTGGCTGTAGCAGAAATAGGCGCCCACTCAGACGGATCTGGCCTGTACGGAAGTATCGTGTCGATGGTGTGCGACGGGTGCCTTCCATATAATAAAAAGAAAGGTGAAAAGCCAGTAGTGCTCTGAGGGGCGGTATTATATGCGTAGGTGACGAAGGGTAGAATGGAATCCCAATTTGTGTGATCGGCGGCGACGTACTTGGAGAGCATGTCGCCGAGCGTACGGTTGAAGCGTTCGGTGAGGCCATTTGTCTGCGGGTGGTAAGCAGCAGTTTTGCGGTGAACAATGTTGCACTCTTTAAGAATGGCTTCAACGACTTCAGACAGGAAGACGCGGCCTCGGTCACTGAGCAGTTCCTGGGGTGGACCGTGTCGCAAAATGAATCGTTGGAGCAGAAAGGAGGCCACATCGCTCGCTGTAGCCGCGGGGAGAGCGGCCGTTTCGGCGTATCGCGTGAGGTGGTCCACAGCGACAATGGCCCAGCGGTTACCAGCCGACGTCAGTGGAAGTGGCCCATACAAATCGATGCCAACGCGCCCAAAGGGCCTGGCAGGGCAAGGTAGAGGTTGCAGACCTGCCGGTGATAGGTGCGTTGAAGCTTTTCGGCGCTGACAATCTATGCAGGAGCGAACGAATTTCTGCACGTAGCGGTACATGCCGCGCCAAAAGTACCGTTGGCGAATGCGGTGGTAAGTCTTCGATACCCCGGAGTGCGCACATTGCGGATCGGAATGAAAAAACTCGCATATGTCAGAGCGCATACTGCGAGGTATGACTAGTAGCCACTGGCGGCCGTCACCGTTGTAATTGCGCCTGTGGAGGAGGTCGTCGCGAATGGCGAAATGGTGGGCTTGACGACGCAACGCGCGAGTGGATGGAGTGGATGGATCAGCCAGCAAGTCGATCAGTGAGGCGATCCATTGATCCTTGCGCTGTTCAGTAGCAATGGTATGAATGCTAATGGAAGAAATGGCAAGGTGAGACGCGGAGTTGTGGGCGTTGTCGTCAGGCAAGGGAGAGCGTGACAGGGCGTCGGCGTCAGCATGTTGCCTTCCATTGCGGTACAGCACGCGGATATCATAGTCTTGCAGGCGAAGTGCCCACCGGGCGAGACGGCCTGAGGGATCTTTCAATGACGACAACCAGCATAGTGCGTGATGGTCGGTGACGACATCAAATGGGCGACCATACAAATAAGGTCGGAACTTCGTAAGGGCCCAGACGATTGCCAAACATTCCTTCTCGGTGACGGTGTAATTAGTCTCGGCCTTAGTAAGCGTACGGCTTGCATACGCCACGACATATTCTGGGAACCCTGGTTTGCGCTGCGCAAGGACAGCGCCAAGGCCGACACCACTGGCATCCGTGTGTACCTCTGTAGGGGCCGTAGGGTCGTAGTGGCGGAGTATGGGAGGCGACGTCAACAAACGACGGAGCGTTGTGAAAGCGTCGTCACACTGTGATGACCACGAATGGAGAGGCCCGTTACTTCCAAGGAGCTTCGTCAGCGGCGATATGATAGTCGCGAAGTTTCGAATGAAGCGCCGAAGGTAGGAACACAGCCCTACGAAACTGCGCAGTTCCTTGACGGATGTCGGCTTGGGGAACTCGGACACGGCCCGAAGCTTAGCTGGATCAGGGAGAATTACGTCCTTGGACACAACGTAGCCGAGTATTGTCAGCTCCCGAGCTGCAAATCTGCACTTCTTTAGGTTCAGTTGCAGACTGGCGTCACTCAGACGCGTTAAAACATGCCGTAGGCGCTGAAGATGCGTCGAGAAGTCCGGAGCGAAAACGACGACGTCATCGAGGTAGCACAGGCACGTGTGCCATTTCAGGTCACGCAGAACAGTATCCATCATGCGCTCAAAGGTGGCGGGCGCGTTGCACAGCCCAAACGGCATGACGTTGAATTCGTACAAGCCGTCGGGGGTGACAAAAGCGGTCTTCGGTCGAGCGTCCTCAGCCATAGGCACTTGCCAGTACCCTGAGCGCAAATCGAGGGATGAAAAGAATTCTGCTCCTTGCAGGCTGTCAATAGCGTCATCTACCCGCGGTAGTGGGTACACGTCCTTACGAGTGATTTTGTTGAGGCGTCGGTAGTCCACACAGAACCGCACAGAACCGTCCTTTTTCGTGACGAGAACGACAGGAGATGCCCAGGGGCTGCTAGAGGGGCGAATAACATCGCGGCGAAGCATGTCGTCGACTTGCTCGTTGATTACACGGCGTTCTGTGGGAGATACGCGATATGGACGCTGTCTCAGTGGTGGCTGTGTGCCTGTGTCGATGCCATGCGTAATGGTGGATGTGCGGCCGAGAGAAGGTTGGGCGACATCAAAAGAAGACCGGAATTCTTCCAACAGGCCCAGAAGCTGGGAACGCTGGCCTGGCGTAAGGTTGTCGGGAACGGAGGGACCGAATACATCATCGGATGATGAAGCAGATGTCGAAACAGCACTAAGCGTACTGGAACTTGAGCAGTGCATGTCATCGGGTTGATCCATAACTTGTTCGTCTTCGATGGGTTCCACGCTGCCGAGACATTCCCCTCGCACCAACGTAACGCTGTACGGGGATGAGTTCACTGCAATAATAGTGGTGCTGCCGTGAGTGAGTTGCACGGTCGCGAAAGGAATCAGCAAGCCTTTTCTGATGAAAACACGATGAGATGGCGAGAGGAGTGCAGCGGTGTCAGAAAGGCTTGCGCAGTAGACCGACACCGTCGCGGACGAGTTTGCAGGCACTTGGGTGTCATCTCTGACGAGTAACTTGCTTGCGGCAGATGGACTGTCGGCCGGCGTCAAAGAAGAGAATTGGGTGAGTTCTATTTCTGCTGGTGCGCAATGAATGACGGCGTCATGGCGGGAGAGAAAATCCCATCCTAGGATGACGTCGTGAGAGCATGAAGGAATTATGATGAATTCGACCGCATACATCACGTCCTGAATCATAAGGCGGGCTGTGCACATCGCCGTAGGGTGAATGCTTTGGGCGCTGGCTGTACGGAGGGAGAGCCCGGAGAGTGGCGAGGTCACTTTGCGCAGTAATCGGCTAAGTTTTGCGTCCATGACGGATACGGCGGCTCCAGTATCTACAAGGGCAGATGCACGAACGCCATCCACAAGTACGTCTATCACGTTCGATGGGCTTTCCTGAGGGCTTCCGCAGTTCGACAGCGTCGCAGCCCTTGCCTCGTGGACTGCGACGACTAGTTTTCCTGGTCGCCCTCGAGTGGACGTGGCCGCATCGGCGACAGTGAGCGACGTCGCGGAGATGGTGAACGGCGGGTAGACGGAGCGGGGCGGGACGACGGTGACATAGGTGGCGGTTGGTCATAAGAGCGACTTGATTGGCTGGGAAAGTTCGAGGCGACCTGCGGTTGCTGCACACGATTGCAATAGCGTGCTACATGACCGACGCGACCGCAAGCAAAGCAGATGGGGCGATTGTCAGCAGTGCGCCATCTGTTCGCGGGTCCCATCCATGTCGCAGAACGCGTTCGGCGAGCCGGCTGCTGATATGAGTGCATGGTGGGCGGCACTCGGGGCACGTGGGTGACGTCGACGTATGTAGGCGACACAGTTTCTCCGAAGGCGTGGGGCCTCGCGGTGGTTTCGGTGTAACTTACAGCGCAATCCACAGAAATCGGTGGGGGCGGCCTGGCTACAATTTGGGCATAGCTGAGTGGCGCAGATACAGGAGGCGGCTGGTGGTATTCTGGAACGACCTGCGCGATTTCCTGCTGAATGGCTCGGCGGAGCGGAGGTGCAAGTGTACTTGATGGCTGCTGAGCATGTTGCGGTGGAGCAAAAGCCAGTAAAGAGACCTGGCGGGCAACTTCCTCACGCACGAATGACTTGATTTCGGCGAGCAAGGTTGTGTGGTCAGGAACCGCTGACAAAGCCGAGAGACCAGCATCACGTGGTGGCGATCGACGGGTCATCAAGCGCTGCCGCCGCAGCTCGTCGTAACTTTGGCATAATGTAATGATTTCTGCCACAGTATGAGGGTTCTTGGCCAGAAGCATGGTGAAGGCATCGTCGGCGATGCCTTTTAGAACATTCGTGATTTTGTCAGCCTCTGACATGTTCAGGTCAACTTTCTTGCACAAGTCAAGGATGTCCTCGATATAACTTGTGAAGGACTCGCCAGTCTGCTGTGCTCGTTCACGTAAACGCTGTTCGGCTTGCAGTTTACGAACGGCAGGGCGGCCGAACACGTCAACGACAGCGGTCTTAAAAGCGGACCAAGTCGGGAAATCAGATGCGTGGTTATTGTACCACATTCCGGCCACACCCGCAAGGTAGAAGAACAGGTTACCTAGTTTAGCTGCCTCATCCCAATGATTGGGGACGCTCACACGTTCGTACATGGCAAGCCAGTCCTCGACGTCGGTGCCATCCGCGCCGGTGAAGACAGGAGGGTCGCGGATGCGGGGGACACCGGGACATGGCGTCGGTGTAGGAGGGAGCGTTTGCTGAGCGGCGTCCTGGTGCATGGTAGAAGGCACGGTACGGGATCGAAGCTCGAAGGGCATCGAATGCGAACCAAAGATGTTTGAAGGGGACAGCACTCTCCACCAAATTGTTAAGACGTTTATTGGCGGACACTCGTTGATGATTCACGACAGCGACAGTCAATGCGGGGAACGACTCTCTGCACGAGCTGCTCTTCTTCTTATAAAAGGGCGACCCACTAGAAGGCACTCGAGAGGACGACCCACTGTTCGAAGGCTTTGCCACAAACTTGATTGATTCATTGAACGGTATGGCTTCATTGATCTTAAAACAAGTAATGTAAATAAATATATGAAATATCGCAAACTAAGCCCAAGGAAGCAAACCGAAAAGATGTATTTTTAAGAGAAATCTCTCACCCCCCTCCCAAAACCTCATAAGGCTTTCCTGCACGCATGGCTGTTATGGGGAGGTGCACCCTTTACAGGACAGGATTCCCCAGGACGTATAGAAAGAATAATAAAAAAACCTACCGAATAAAGCTTTAAAAATTTTTCTTTCATCAGCACCACTTGTTCCACGTATTTTAGGGAATGATAACGAAATTCGCGCAAACTTGCACAACGAGGCGAAACTGTGATAAAAATTCCCGAAATATCCGTGGTTCACGTGGCGATGATATAGTTCATGTGCACGTCTTGGCGTGGTTCTAGATCCTGCGCTGAAGGCAGCTCCACTATACCGTGGAACAAACGTGAGGAAGTGCATAGTGCGGGCATCCCAGCTAACCCAGCGCTTGCGACCACCTAGGGAATAGCGCGCTTGGCGAGGCGTTGGCGCTCTCTCCTAAGCGACGCAGGTACCAACAGGGTATTTTAGAAGCGTTCCCCTGCGATATTAGGTGAATTGTTGCAAATGTATCTCGGTTCTTTCTGTAGTTTATATTATTTTAAACCTTGTAAGTTTATTTTCTACTGGTGTTGAGCATTTTCAGCCTCGTCTTAGGCCTTTCATCCACCATGCGACATGACACTTGGAACACAAGCACACACCATAGGCATGCGCGGGCTTTCTTTTCGGGGGGGGGGGGGGGGGGGGATGCTTATGACGCCAATGTATGGTGCAGATTTTGCGATGTATGGCACGCACGCAAGCACACACGAACTGCTTTCGGGTACAAATAAAAGTAGACGAGCTATAAACGAATGGCGACGAAAGTATGCCGAATGACAGAGGACACCATCTTGCCACCGCAGGGCATTGTTATAAAGGCAATGAACATAGAACAGCCGGCAATAATCAAGGCATACATTGAAAGAAAAGGTGGCCCTGTCGCAAGCGAAAACAGATAACCGATGGAATACTGATGGCAAACGAGAATTGCCAAGCCAAGGAAGCAATGCAAAAAATAAGACTTAGGAGAAAAAACAGAGAGAAGAATGAGGAGAGAGAGAGAGAGCAACAGGGCGCATACCGGGAACGGCTGAGGAAAGTGGATCAATATTAGCGACAAGAAAATACGGACTCGGAAGCTCCCCAGGAGAAGGAAGTAAGCAAACAGCAGGCACCCCTAGAGAAGAAGCTGGCAATGCGGGAGAACGGAGATAAGAGAGTGCCACAAATTAGACAAGAACGCGTCGATGATTGAACGCCCAACGCCGGAGGGGAAACGAGCGGTGACAATGCTCACCAGGTAAGAGGGAGCTAGGAAATGGGAGGGCGGCGACGTGGACGGATGTGGCTGCCACCGTGGCAAAGGGCATGTGGCATTTGGCCCTGTAGAGTAAAGACAAGCGCAAACGAGTGCGGTCGAAAACCGGTTCTGACGCCTAGCAGCCACGACTGTAACGTACCGGATGCTGCACCATCCGCACAAACTATCGATGAGCTGACAGTTTGTGCGCTCTAATTACAGAACCAGGCGCACGTTTAGATGGGGGAGAGGGAGCTGTAGAACCAGCTTTTGTCATTGCCACTGTGGCTAGCGAAAAAAAAAAAAAAAGAACCCGACGCACCAGCTTATCGAAGAAGCCATATGGCAAGACTGGCACGCGCAAGCGCCATCGCATTTTTGACGAGTGTAATATTCGTGCGACAGGAAAACAGATACCTAGAGCCGAATCTTCATCATCGTTCCCGTTGACGACCTGAATACGTATAAAAACAGGAGGGTGAACACTGTAGAACCGATTACCGAAGAGCTATTCTTACGGCTTAACTCTGTTTTCCCAGTATACTGCAGTTAAAAAAAAATGTTGCAGTTTCTCCCGAAAATCGATGCGTCAGTGACAATAATGCATCAGCAGTGAGTAAAATCAACGCGTAAGCGAACTAAACAAAGTATGTCTATAGTTTTATCCGCCCTACACATTGAAGCGTCATTTGATGACTAATTAACTTACAAGCGCGGCGTCACGAGCGCTCGCTGTGGCCGCACAGCTGGAAGTGAAGAAACGCATCCCCTTGTATATCGCTTTTATCCAGTCTCCGGAACTAAAGTAACGCGGTCTCTAACATCAAACGCGCCAAAAAGAAAAAAAGTAGGCCAAAATGATAACGAAGAGTGCGTCCATATCGGCTCGCTCCGCCTTCGCACCCGCCGAGCATTTACTCGCAGATAAAGCGTCCTTTCGCCCAGCCGCAACGAGCTTCGCCGCCGTGGAACGCGAACGGCCCCGATCGAGCACAGCCGTCCACGAGCGCTTCGAGTAAAAGATTGATTGATATGTGGGGTTTAACGTCCCAAAACTACCATATAAATATTAGAGACGCCGTAGTGGAGGGCTCCGGAAATTTCGACCACTTAGGGTTCTTTAACGTGCACCCAAATCTGAGCACACAGGCCTTCAACATTTCCGCCTCCATCGGAAATGCAGCCGCGGCAGACGGGATTCGATCCCGCGACCTGCGGGTCAGCAGCCGAGTGCCTTAGCCACTAGACCACCGCGGTGGGGAGTAATAAACGATACACTCACTAGCTAGATAATGGTTTTATTTGATGAAAAAAAATAGAGAGGTCCGTTAATGCAGTGTTTTAAGAGAGACTTCATTAATGAGGCACTAGTGGCGCAAAGCCTGAAACCGGGCATGCAGGGGCAGGTGTTTCCGTTCCACTGAAGTCGTCAGCTATTTGGTGCGCTAACTGTCGCCTTCGTTTTTAGTGGACCGGCGCCGAGTAGTGGAATTTGCCCAATTTTCGGGATGCATACCCAGTTATGATGGGCCTATAGACTGTACATGGCACACTGCGACGACGTTAGACGCCGACAAGCCGAGACTGCGATGTACTTCGCACCAAAAAAGGCGCCGATTTCTGCAGCCTATAAGAATTATATATGTAAGATGATACTGGCGACGACTAACAGAGACACTGACGAGTTGAAAGAAAGGCACCAACAACTTGCATTGGCGTGTTTCTCTCGATGCGAACAGTGCCCTTGTTAGCCAGTATCATGTTACATAGTTATAACCAAAACCAACCCAGCTGTCTACGCTTACACATCGGGGCACAGTGCAGCGCGTAGGGCGTCGGTGAGAGAATAAAGATAAGATAAACATAAGAGAAAATAAAGCGGCAACAGAAGTCGTATTCTAGATATATGAGCCCTCACTACACCGAGCGCCTAGGCCAGGTTCAGGTTACCTCTCTCTCTATTAGAAAAACCCGCGGGTGCCCAGCGGGACTGGAAATCAAACCGAGTACTTTCCGCGTTGAACACCAATGCGGGTTAGAAAAGACTAAGGTTGCACAGCAGGCTTGTTGGTGATTCATGTTGTTCAGAAAAGACTGTCTGCACCCCATATGGTGAAACGTGACAACCCCCACCTGTTTGATATCGATTACAGGCGTGCACCCTTCTACGCTTTGCTTCGATTGTCTACGGAATTCGTTACGGTAAAACGTTACTACTCAGCAACGGTTGACAAAAATTTTCAGAAGTATGCGTATGTACGTACAGTTACAACGTGCTATTTATCTACTAATTAAACACTATTTTTTTGTTGTTTAATCATACGTATTCCAACTCACTCTGCAAGCAGTCGGCGTTGAGCAGGTCTCGGCACTTTTCGTGACACTTGACGCCGCACTCGGTGCAGCGAAGGCCCTGGTTGGTGATGCCCCAGAGAAGGCCCTCGCACTCGTAGCAGTAGGTGGGCGACGTGGCCGTCCAAGACTGGAAGTTGTGCGGCGTCGTGCTCGAGATCGGGTAGATGAGCGCCTGCAGCGTCTTCTTGTACACGTGCGTCTTCTGCGGAGGACAAAGAACAACACTCCTCTCATCTAAGGAAGCCCAACGCAGGGTGTCGAGTTTACTTTAATCTTAATCTTAATTAATACGTAAGCTTGGACATCTAGTTTATGTATTTACACATTTAACACTATATATATATATATATATATATATATATATATATATATATATATATATATATATATATATATATATATATATATATATATATTAACAGACATACAAATACATAACATATATATAGCTTAACAGTGGGTCAGGGAACAAACCGGGGTTAAGGATATCATAGTTATAATCAAGAAGAAGAAGTAGCACAGGATAACCGCTGGCCATTAAGGGTAACTGACTGGGTTCCCAGAGAAGGCAAACACGGGAAGGGGAGACAGAAAGTTAGGTGGGTCGATGAGATTTAAAAAGTTCGCATGTATAACGTGACAGCAGAAAGCACAAAACCGGGTTGATTGGCTGACCATGGGCGAGGCCCTTGCCCCGCAGTGGGCGTAGTCAGGCTAATGATGATGATGATGAGTTGAACATGAACGACGAAAACTTCGTACTGTTGAGCTTCGTTATGCACGACGTGATAGATGAAACATGAAAAGTGCAACAGAAGCAATACATACCAGTTCTTCGTCGTTGGGATGCGTTCGGGGAACAACTGATGTCAATGCGGCATTCCGTTTGGTGGCAGCCATTGTCTGCAGAGAGAAAGCACGGGAAGGGAAGCGAAGTTTGGAGTCAGCCCTTGCCCAACTGAACACATGAGGGCTCTCTATTTCGTTTTCACTCGTTGTTTGCGGCAGGTTGGCTTTTAATATACCCCAGATAGAAACACGCGGTAAAAAAAGCAGAAGTTTTCTTAACACGTTTTTAATAATAATAATAATAATAATAATAATAATAATAATAATAATAATAATAATAATAATAATAATAATAATAATAATAATAATAATAATATTGATAATATTAATAATAATATTAATAATAATAATATTATTATTATTATTATTATTAAAGCAAAAAGATCACGGAGTTACCTGCCAATGCGTAATCTTGTAAATGAAAACATTACAAAACGAAGGTTTGAGATAAAAGAAGCCTCGTATTCGTACATTTTGCATTAGTTTCGTACCCGTCATGAAAGACATCCTTTTGAAAAGAGTAGCAAATTATAGGGTCTGCACACATGCTGCTGCAGACTTGCAGTATGGTATGTTGCAACTAATACGTTCAATCGCTTGGGGAAAACAAGCAATCTTTGATCAAGCAAGCAGCATTCAACAATTCAGCATGCCAACTGAACTTAGAAAGAAAGAAGAAATGGAGGTAGAAGCTCTATTAACCAACTCCGACATCAATATGCCGAAGTAAAGGATGGTAATGATGCAATGCAGGAAAAAAAAACAGAAGATCATAGGCAAGATCGCATTCCTTTTAAAAGTTTACCATAATCACTTCAGGTATTCTAGAGAGTTCATGGTATGGTGATAAGAAAAAAGCACAGAGAGAATTGAATGACGCGTCAGCAACACTTTAATAGCTTTTTTTTTTTCTTCTTCGGCATGCGTACCAAAGACAATAAAAAAGTAAAATGGGGATGCAAAACGTAAGGTTTCATCAAAAGCTCGCCAGAGCGAGAAATTGAGCGGGGAACATTCAGCGACTACGCTATACGAATGGTAAAGAAAAAATACAAAAAAGGGATCGAGGGGGGGAAAAAGGGGGTATTAAAAAAGTGTACCTTGAGCACCTTTTTGCCAGGAAGCATGAAGAGAGGGAGAGAAAAATGTGGGTGAAAACACGACGACGAAAATGAAAAGAGAGAGAGAAAGAAATAAACATCCCGAAGCCGCGCGAAAGTGCAAAGGTCAGAACTTGATCCTCGAGGAATTCTGAAACGGCGGAAACGGGAAAAATGAAAAAAAAAAATGGGAGCAAAAAAAAAAAAAAAGAGCGGGTTCCGCCGTGCTATAGAGGTGCGAAGTATAGTATATAAGCACAGCTAGAGAAAGTCGCGGGAACGTGCGGGCGAACGCTAAGCCTACAGGATCCGCGAACTCGGATGTCGTCGCGCGCAGAGCGACTTCGGCAAGTTTTCGCGCGGGCGCGCGTCAGGTATAGGCGATGAAAGAGCCGCGAAATGAGGCTGCTGTAAAAAAGGTTCAAAAAAAAAAAAAGAAAAAAAATGTAGGCTCGCCGAGTTAGTGGGCGAAAAGCGCGGTCGGTGCGGATACGAGGAGATAATAATACGTTTGCCACCGCTGTTCGTGTTGATGACACGTGGCGAAGACGGGGCCGAACTTTGCTGCGCAGCGGGCGAAATAAGCAGCGCGCTGGATTTGCCGCGGCGCGCGCCCAAAGGAAACGACGAAGGCTTTCGCGCGAAACCTATAGGAAAAAGGTGGAAAAAAAAATACGGGTCTTGAAAATGCCACTGGGCACACGTGTGGTGTGCTCGCGTACGCGCAAGACACGTCTCCACGTAATCCAGCTCGTCGGAGAACTTTTACTCCCATCTTTCTTTCGTCGCATTAAAAAAACAAACCATTCGTCACCGTAGCCTATCTCTCACGAACTCATAATTTAAGTTCTCAAAAAAAAAAACCTGGCTGGCGTTGTTTCTCGTGTTTTCTTTTCCTTTTTTTTTTCGCCCCTGTGAACAACGTTCGGGCAAACGAAAATAAAATGGGAGGCAAAAGAGCTGTCCTTACCTACACGGAGGTGAAGAACTGGTGCTTTAAAGAGAGTAATAAAAAAAAAAACGGAAGAAATAGAAAGAGTGACTGATCGGAATTGAAGAAAAAAAAATCGAGAAGAAGATCACGCGTCATAGAGAGCCACGAAGGACGAGAAAGCGCGGTATATTTACACAGGTGGCTGCGTTTCAAGTGGGGATTCGAAGCCAAGAGGCGTCGGCGAAGAAGAGGAGACGCGCAAGCTCCGACACCGGTAAACAAATACGGCGTTGTTGCGCGACATTGTCGCTACACGTGTGCGTATACAAGAGGGGGCGGCACTGGCGGAACGTTTCCTCCGGGCACGCGAGAACCCGCTGTTTATGCAAGTCCGTCCTTTTTCGATACGAGGCTGACAACGCGCCGGAGAGATGCGGCCGAAGAAAAGATTGCCTCGCGAGGCTGGAGGGGCCCGGTCGCTTCGGGGAACAGAAAGCAATGCACCGTATTCGTAGAGCCCTATAGCCGCGTGTCTTTCTACAAAACCGACGCTGTTTCTGTTTTTTTCCCCCTTTCATTCTTAAAAAAAAGACAAACAGCGAGAATAAAGGAATGACGAGTATAGAGGAAGACTTTAAGTTTCCTTTTGACAATTTTTTGTTCTACCTTGAAATAAGGTGCTTACAATTGAAGAGATCAACTACTCAGGTCGGTGCGAATAATACGAAGGTTACGGTGAGAAAAAGATGTATGGGGTGTATGTACAATGATGCGTTATTACGACTGTGCCAACAGGCCGCTCAGAGTCTTCTCTAGAGCTGAAAGCACGCACCCTTAGCCATTATGAGTTTGGACGTACCATTTATTTTCCTTCCTCGCTCTTTGTCTCTCTCTCTTTTTTTTTGCAAAACGAGAGACGTTGCCATGCCGATCGCGGACCTCGTGGTGGGCAACAGCAGACGATGCACGACGAGGAACGCACGTGTTCTGTCAACTCGTCCACCTATTGTACTGCCGTTGTGACGAAATGGAATGCATACGCGAAATTGCCCACCATTCCCTGCTTCGTCCCCCAGTCTTTTCTCGTGGCACTGCCGCGGGGCCCAACTTCCAGCTGCGAATGCACAGGCTGTGCTTTTTACTACGTAAAAACGGGATCGAACTTGAATGCAGTGGCTACGGGGGCCCAACAACGATACTTTTCATGAAAAGTTAGCAATTGAACCGGCGCAGCTTCTGTGCTCGGCGACGGTATTTTTAAACCTGGAGTCTCGGGTTTGTTGCTAGCAACGAACTGCGTTAGCAAAGCGTAGTACGGGTACGTAATAGTACGTCGTAAATATAAATATTAGGATGAAAAAAAAATGCTGTGGATGATGTCAGGCGCGTCGGGAATTGCAGTTTCTTTGCTTGTTTTCTTTTTTACAAGTCACGCGTAATATTTTGTTTTATACGACAGCAGGCTCTGGAATTTCGGAAACTGTTTCAGGGAGTGTAGGTGTGTGACTACATAATATATATATATAAGTGACCTGGTGAACAACGGCTATTGCTCGTATGCATATGAATTTCACGCTTCTCCATACACGGCAAAGTAACACTGACATATACTCACGGAACCGCGATACTCGCACCGAGCTGCGAATAAGCGAGTATAGTTCAGAGAGGGCAACAGCGCCCCCATCCCTGCTAAATTATTGCAAGTCTTTCTTTTTAAACAATCAGTAGTGGCGCCAGTATACCATACGATTTACACCGTGGCATCACAGTTTCGTGTAAGCGAACCGCGATTCGAAAGAATTCGAGCTACACGTGTTGCTCGAGGGGATTCCGCCATACGCAAAATGTTTTTTCGGGTAATGGAACACCGCACAAACTGAAAACCTACTCTTTACTATGAGTGCGCGAGCGGCCAGGTTTGGGGCGATAAAGTAACACCTCCCGCGCAGATAGCCCGACATTATGCGTGAACACGGGCCCTGTACTTATAAAACCACGCACCCGAACGACCTCCAGAAGAGCTGCCACGACAAACTCGCGCCTGTTAACGCCTATACAGAATCTGCGTATTTTTCGAGCGCTGTGCGCCCTTGTATATACTGCGATGCGAAGCGTCAGCGATCGCGGTTTGTAATTAACTCGGCCGGCGGCATAAGCTCCCTCGCAGAGGAGCGCTTTGCGTTTCAGACAAACAATGTTCCCCTGAAGCAACGCGCGCGCGTAATTAAGCATAAAAATATTATGCGTGTCACACGCTGTCACCTCTTATTAGCCGTTGTGACTTTATAACATAAAAAAAAGAGCTGAAACATTAAGACCGCTGAAAAGGGAAAGCGTTTTATTAAGAAAAAAAATCGTTCAGTCGAGTCATAGATTGTGCGCAGTATGAATGCGAGTGCATGCGACAGAAGGAATATATTCAAGCGCTTTACTCTTAAGCGACCGCCAACGAATTACTCCTCACGAGCGAAAAGTTTCATAGAAACGGTTTTCTATTACCCTATGCACAGCGAAAGTTTGAAAAGTGCACTTGTTTGTCGAAATAACTGCGTAAGGCCTCGTTATTTTATTTTTTTTTAATACTCCCTCGCTTTTAAAACCACACACGAAACAGGGCTGGGAAAGAGTTTAGGGAGAGGTTCTGAAAAGCTGCATTAGATATTTACTTTCAGTAAAAGAGTAATGTCAAAAGCAGTAACGAGCACATTAAACGCTCGAAACAGCGAGCTGTTTTAGCCTCACTTCTATCAATACCAAATGACACAATGTCAAAGTCACTGGCACGCAGTAAATATTTGTAACGCTCGCCGGTCAGTCACAAGATATGCATGTTTCCGCGCCGTTTAGCTATTTCTTTGCCGACGGTATCGCGGCATTTAATCTTGTAAACACATCGTGACAGACTTCACAGCATTCACTCATTTAATAAAGCGTCTAACACGGCATTTAATCTTGTAAACACATCGTGACAGACTTCACAGCATTCACTCATTTAATAAAGCGTCTAACACACTTCTTGCACTATTTTAGAACGGCTTGCTCTCTCGATTTTTTGACGCTATCGACTAGCCACGCGAGAAACGGAATCGAAAAGGCGATATAAAAAAATGACATTCGGCGTCCCAGAAACACGAAGATAAACAGCTTTGCGATCGAACTCACCAACTCGCTGACAAGAGGAATGGACTTTCTTCTAGGCCTGATATCAGGCATCGAGTCGATGTTGCTGTAGAATGGATTATGCTCCGGCCTGCACAAGAACAACAAATGGACGAAAAAAAAATGGCGTAATAAAAATGTCAATCTCTGAAAGCACTTCAAACAAACCGTCCCGCCAACAATGTAACTTGTTTCGGAAACTTGGTAACATTAAAGATGAATTAGGAAAATTCAGGCTGCGAGTTATGGTTTAGTCTACGCAATGCCATATCAAGCAATTCTCAGCATAAACTCTACAAGACGTCCGTCAGAGGAACGAGATGCTTTAAGCTATGTAATGAACTAAGCAAATTTTGTCACTTCAGCGAGTGTGTTCGACCGAAAGACACGAACTTGAGATTGGTTGATAGCCAATGCAAACAGCATGACATCTTATACACGGTGCGTGTTAGAAAAAAAAATTCCCCACCCTCTATCCATTTATATTTACTGGTCATCGAACATGGAGCTCATGCTTTAAAGGCCCAACTGTGTAATGTATGACATAAAAACGCTTTACGTAAACTTCCAACGAGCAAACACACACTATATTGAGCGCATAACTAGCATACATTCCTATGGTTAAGCACGTTCCAGAATTGCGGTGTTTCAAGTTGTAAGTTCTACATTCCGAATGCGAATATAAAAGTTTTCAGCACTTGGTTGCTGTTGAGTTTAAACACGTGGAATTGGAAAATTTAAGTATTCGCTTGTCGTGAAATATAAACGATTCACACGCTTTATGGACTGTAAAAGGCCAAACGAAGGATGCAGGTTGATTATCAATAGTCAATTGTTTTAACAAGGCGGTAGTTGCTCACTTCACACTGCATGCTAACAATATGACATTTAGATCAGTCCAAGTATTTTATTTGGCGAAACAACGGATGCGCACATTTACACGATAATGTAGTGTTAGGGCCAGTTTCAAAAACGAGCACTGTAGTCAAATATAAAGCCAAGTGTTATTTTGCTACATTACTATAGCTACGAAGTACACGATACGCTCATCTTTCACTAGTTTCTTACTTAGAAGGTGCGTCGTTAACCAGCTAAAAATGCCGTAACATGTGCAACATTCCCCGACGCATTTTTATTCTGCTTCAGAAATTAAAAAAAAAACGTCACATCCGTGACGGAAATACGTTATTCAAGTCTTGGTGTAAACCTGGCATAAAACACTTCCCAAGTTTAAAAAAAATGCAATATTTGACTCGATAACGTTACACTCCACACTCGCTCAACTTAGAAGCAGGCCCGTGCGTCTATAACGTACCAAAATCGAGATGAGCTTCGGTCAATAAACGCTACACCGAATGCATCGATTGGCCCCACCGGCAGGCATGACGGCCCTCCCAGCCCATTACTGTCCGTGCCGACGACAGCCAAAGCTGGCTGCGGCCATTACATCATCAGCAGACACTCGCTGCCACACGGTTGTTGGTCATAAAAACTGCCTGTCGTGAGCCCAGACAGCGATGCTATACGCGCGGGCCACTGAGACGGCCACAGTGCACCCACCGCTTTGGATGAAACGGTCGCTTGTCACGAAAGCCGAGCTGTACTCACCCTCCACTGCGAGGCCACAAGCTCTTGGGTCCATCACGACTGCTTGACCTAAGAGCGCCTCCACTCTGCTGAGACAAAAGGGAAGAGAAAGAACGACGAAAGGTTAGGCCAAACAGTGTAGATCAACGGAAACGCTACAATGAACGATACATTATACATATATATAAAAACACATGGACGGCACCACATTCTTTATAACATAAGGCAGTGCACAAAACGGTCGTTAAGAGACATTCCTTTTATTTACTGATAACTATCTCAAGAGATGTAAGCGCAACTGCCGGCTACTTCCGGGAGAATCCAACCTATACAGGGTTAAAACAACATGTGAAATAACGTTGGCTACGGAATACCATGACGTTAAATATGCGTCGCACATACCTACAGTATGTGTGGCATCTTATACAAACCAGAATAATTGCAAGACATTGCAAAAGAAACTCAATAGGAACAGTAATGTAACATATAAAATGTTTCACACCATCGGGAGTCACATACAACAGGAATGCACGTTATCACGTGTAGAGGTCACATGCGAGTCAACAACCGTCATTAAAACAGAAAATGAACATTGTAAGAGTTAATAACGGCTAACAGTGGTTTGTACGCCAGATAAAAATTTTACTTAAAAAGTTTACTTAAATTGAATTGGCGTGCTGTCTAACAGCATAAAATTTAATTTAAGGCAGCAATCGGTGCATAGTAATGGGGGCACTCTAGAAAAAGGTAATATAAACAGTACTGCTGCTTTCTTTTTTTTAATGCCACACACATACACACACAGATATATATATATATATATATATATATATATATATATATATATATATATATATATATATATATATATATTTCACTTACATCCTCCGAAGAAGGCTGGTCCACCAGCCGAAACTGTTAGGATTAAATAAATATTTTATTGTTTTGTTTCCTATACTGCACTATTCTCGAAGTTTATAACTTTTATTACGGTAGCCGGAAGAAACTCTGATCATCTATTTCATCTATATATATATATATATATTCGCCACCCGCATCTTAGCTTAAAGGAGGCGCGAGAGCCAAATCAAGGTTGTCTGAACTGGCTTCCTTTTCCCACCCCTCACGCTTCACACCAAACGTGACATAAACCTGTATTCGTGCATAGACTGAAATGGTTTGCGTTACGGTAAGTAAAAAAAAAATGTGACCCGACGTATAGGCTAGAGATGCAAGACTACATAGGCGCCTGCTTAAGCGATGCAGCCGAATCGAAGGAAGAGCAGAGAAGCAAGCGCTCTGCACAGATAGGGAAACCACGCTGTCGGCAATAAAAGCGAAGCACCGATAGTGACGAGCAGACAGTAAAAAAAAAAAAAAGAGCGAGCAGGGAAGGAGATATGGCAGGAGGAACGGGACATAAACCAGTCTGACCACGTAATGCGAATCGGGAGACACCGAAGAGAAAGTGGATAGTCAGCAGATCCTGGCGAACGCGTTCGCAAACAAATGGAAACGGAACGAGTTCGAGAAAACCAGAGAACAGAACGGCGACATAAAATGGTTCCCCGCGAAGACGCATGGCCAGGAAGTCGCTCAGCGGCCGAGAGGGAGATAGCACGAGGCTCCTCTATAATTTAACACGCAGCTCGGACGACCGCTAAGAGTTGCGCAACCGCTTTAGCGTGGCCGTCCTCTTCCACTGCGCTGTTACGTCCCGCGCCCCGTTGGGAGCATTCTGTGCACGGTTCTACGGGAATTCCCGGTGCACCATAATTAGAAGCGTAGGAACGTAACTAACGCAGTAAATGGAGAGTTGAAGCGTGCGTCGGACAGTCGGAGCGTATACCGCGTCACAACTTGGCCACATCGCCGGATTGCGGCAACGGCTGGATGCGCTCCTGCTTGCGTCAATAGCCTCCGACCAGATACTCTGTAGCTCGAGTTTCACAAAAGCGCGTTGTACACTGTCGTTCCACGCTGGAGATAAAGCCCGCGTCCGAAGTCCGGCAATCGTGGACGGGAACGTCCCAAAACAAAGAGGAATTGACGTTGGGGGTATTGCAAGACACGGTCAAACTTTGCTTTCACCACACAGACTAAGCGAATGAACAGAAGAGTGGACGTTCAAATGTGCGGTAGTAAAAAAACAGTCGACTGGTTTGGCGAAAAGCCAATAGGATGTCGCACGCACGATGGTTCAGGTATTAGAACACTGGAATTCTGAACTCCACTCCAGCTGAGTAGACCCGCTCTAGAGAGCACGGCAGATCGGAACTCTCTGAAAGCACAAAAACGTGAAAAATACAGGCCAGTGGCGTTTCAGGTTAACAAAGCAGGGTAAAAACAACGTAACAGAGATTTTTCATAATGGTCGAAGCTCCCGCTACAATACCAGTATACAGAAAGGAGAACGAAGTAGAATGTCATCGAGTAAAATACAAACAGCTGTTTGATATTCGCAAAGCAACGCACGGTCAACGTGCTTGAAAACGGATAAAATTCGTCACCAAAGTTTTATTTGAATTTGATTAAACGTCTGCTTTGTCACCGACAATTGCCCACGAGGCCTCAATCAGATGAATGAGAATGTTTGGATGAGTAAGAAAAAAAAAAAAACCAGCCAAATGGAAACTGTATTTAAGCCCGCTATCTTATTAGAGCAAAAAATGTCAATAGATTGATTGATTTGATCAATTTGTGGCGTTTGACGTCCAAAACCACCTCATGATTATGAAAGACGCCGTAGTGGTGGGCTCCGGAAATTCCTACCACCATGGGATTCTTTAGCTTGCAAGTTTGAAGAAAATTGTATTAGCCTCCAGAAATGGCCGCTTCCAGAGTTTCTAAATATATTTCAACCTTGCAAACATCAGTCTTTTTTAAACACAATTGAACTGGCGCTCGCGTGTGGAGCGAAGCCGAGACAGTAAAAAGAAAACGCTACAATCACTGCTGTAAAGCGAAGGCTGCTGGCGACGCACGCACAGTTAAAAAACACACATCACGGTATACTATGTCTGATTTCATCTGCTGCTAATATTGTATTAAAGTTATCTAACGATTAAAAAAACGAATTTTACAAAAAGTAAAAAAAAACTGATTCGAATAAAAGGCAATGACCATGCTTCAGAAGGAAAAAAAGAACAAAGCCATTACGTGGACCACACAAGAAAGAAACGAACTGCAACGAAGGTGCTTAAGTCAGGAGAGGTGATGATCAACAGTGTCTCTCGGCGCTGGAACTAACGGGGCATACTGTAGTAGTATACGTATAATGATGGTGCAACGATCACTCTGCGGGTTCCGTTTTTGATCCTTCCTCTCAACGCTCTTTCCCTCGTTAATTCAATTGTTCAATGGATTCCTCACTGTCCTCCCCACTTCATTGTTCCTAACTGTCTGACCAGCAGAGAAGCAGAAAGAAAGAGCAACGATTTGGCCCCAGCTCGAAGGCCAGTCCCATCATATGAGCGGGCCGACCATACGCGAGATGCCGCCGACGAAGGGAGGCAGGCAGGCGAGGCTTTTGGTTGCCACCGAAGGTGGTGCGGCGGCCGTATAAGGGCGACGTGGGCGGAAGAGGAGACTGTCAGCGGGGAGCCGCCCGGAATTGGCGCGCCCGCAATAGCAACGGCAGCACGGCAGGCGGGGAAGCTGCCGGAGATTCGTCGTCGCGGCACCGTAATCGGTGATTAGCCTCGTCCCGTCACCAAGACATGCCCGCTTCTTTACGGCCCACTGTTTCAGGCAGCGATTCGCCGCGCGCCTCCTCGGTCGTCATACTGTAATCTGGGCTGCTTCGAAGCGTAATGGCGCCCCTTGCGAGTGAGAGTTTAGCGAAGAGAAAAAAAAAAGCAGCCGAATAAGCACACATACACTCACACAAAGACAAAAAAGTGAGAGCAAAATATGTTGCATTTTCAGCAGAAGAGGAAGACGACAATGACCGCGGGATGGCCGTGTTGTGCACACTTCCTTAAAACGGTGATGCAGAGACAGTTTAGTTCAGGCAATGTACTGTTCTTCCCTTCAGTGAACGCATTTCTCAGCAATTAATCCTAGTCTTCTTGTTACTCATAAGACTTAATCACAGCAGAAAAACTAGAAACTAGGCGCCCTAAAGTTGTGTAGCAGCAAGCCATGCAAAAAAAATCGCAATGTTGTAAGAGAGACATCCGAATACTTAGTGGGAGGCAAGAATACAAATAGGCGCGAAGCCGCTCACTACTCCTCCCCACCATCACCCCTAGTAACCATGGGGGTAGTCACTGATACTGCTGCTGGACAAAAACGAACAGTCGGAAAATGGGAAGAGCTGGAATTTCCTGCTTTGCAAACGGCAATGAACAGGAGTGGTAGAAATCAATACGAAGGAAGCCAGATATTTAGGAAGCTGAACCCGAAATGAGAGAATGTACGCTAAAAGACGCGAACTGAAAGCCCACTACACTATACCTAAATATTGCGTGCTATAGAATGATCAACGGAAAAGAAACCCCGAACAACTAAGCGAAGAAGCTAGCATGCCTAATTAACAGAGTAAAGCGAACGATTTTGTAATTATGTGGTCTGACAAGCGCAAGAAATCGGTTTTCTTAAGTGATATCCGTTTGAACACACAAAAAAAAACACTACAGCTATAGGGATAGTAAGTGAGCATCGTCATAAAAATCGAATTAGAAGCGAAAGGGAAGAAATGGCTGTAAGAGAACACGGACGAGGCCGAAACAACTGCAAGGAAACTGAACGCAAGAAGAAAGTGCATCGAGTTTGCTGCACGCCCAGGAATGTCCCCACAGTGTGCGAACAAATGTGCTTTGTCTTCCCTGTGTTATTCTGTTTGGCCAAGCTACAAAAAATAAACATGTTAAAATAACCCAATTCAGCCAGCCTTAATTGTCTATCGTCATACCACTTGATAGTTTTTTTAGCATTTAAAATGGGATTCTACTAATGAATGTGGTGAAATTATAGAACTCACGCAACTTTAACAATTTAAGTACCACAGGAACAACGACGACGAAAACATCAGCAACAGTAGCGGCAACAAAAATGTTTATTAAAGAGGAAAAAATAAATAACATCC